CAGTGGGAGCAGTGGCTTCCAGTCTACCCCTAGTCGGCGGAAATAGTTGCGGGAGAGCTCGTTGTTGAAGACACCTTCGACGCCGTAGTCGACGTAGTTGCCATCTGGTAAGTATAGTGTCTCTGCGTGTCCTCCGAGCCGGTTGTTGGGCTCTATTACTACCACGTGCTTCCCTGCATCTTTTAGTTGGATGGCGCTGTATGTTCCTGAGCTTCCGCCTCCGAGGATGCAGATGTCGCAGGTTATGGTCTCGAGAGGGGCAGCCGCTGGTAGTAGGGCCACGAGGGAGCAGAGTAAAATAGAGAGGTGGACCATCAGACACGGTTGATCATATAACAGTAGGTTTTTTAAGTGGATGTGTCGATGACTGGCTAGTGTGTCAAATTGGTCATCTCAAGCGTATAGTGGCTGGGGGGGGTGTACTACACCACTGTAAGGCTCTTACTACGCTTACTTATACACCAATTTGGACAATAGTCCAGTTGGATAGTATGTGATGATACCTCCCGGCGTCCTCATGACAAACAGGGAATCATATGCTTCACTCATGAGATGTCCATGGGTTAGAGTACGCAGGGGTGCGCAGTTCCTGCATCTATCTGTTTGTGGACACTATTTGACAAGACACCTTCACCTGACTTCAACTTTGACACAATTATCTAATTTCTCTGGGTGATCATGAATCTTAATGTGGTTGCGGGTTTTTACCATTATTACGGGGTAGATATGGGGTTGTCTGTACAACATTAATGTGCATCTGATCATCTACTTCAGGTATATGGCCGGGTTGGCATCACATGGCAACACCCAGGTAGTATCATGAACTTGTGACAGTATCTTCTTGCGCCAGTCTTCTATTCCAGCCTCAGGATAAACACAAAACACCCCATCTATTCCTTCTCCCCCTCCAGCGCAGCAATCAACTCCCCAAAAGCAGCCTGAATCCCCTCCCTCTCCCCAACCCAATACCCCCCTTCCCCATCCAATCCCAAATCCTCCCCTCTAGCCGCCCTCTCCACCTCCTTCATCTCCGGAAACTTCAACCCAATCATCCTCTCCAACGGCCTCATCCTCAACCCCTGCAACACCTGCCTCAGCTGCTCCGCCGCCTTCCCACCCCCATGCCCCCCATAACTCACCACCAACGCCGGCTTCCCCTTCCACTCATGAAACAAGTAATCAATCGCATTCTTCACACTCGCCGGATACCCCCAGTTATACTGCGGTGTGACGAAAATAAACGCCTCGTGGCGCGATATCTCCCGTGACCAGGCCTTGGTGTGCTCGTGCTCGTACTCATCTGCTGAGCTGATGCGCGATGGCATCCCTGACTCGTTGTAGAGTGGAAGATTCCATTCTGCCAGGTCGATGGTCGTAATGGTGGCTTTTTCAGCGGGGTAGGATTCACGGATGGCGTTGTGGATGAATGTGCCGATCTGGGGGCCTGCGCGAGGAGTGCGCTGGCTGCAGATTATGAGGCCGATGGAGGGGGGCATGATGATCAATCCCAATTCTTGCTCTTTTTGGTTCAGGTAGGGCGATGGATGTTTTGTCTTTCTCTGTGCTACATTCGTGGTACGATTCTACGGGGTGTATGGGTATTTATGCGATTCAGAGGGCTGTTTGGGATGTTATGGTTCTGGTGGTCGGATAAGCCTTGTCCGAAGGCCGAGGCCGAACGCCGTTTGCTGATGTGAGGTGAGTCAATGTTGTATACGTTGATTGGTAATGCTCTATGCTGATGCACTTTATTTACTACGCGTGACAAAGGATATGTTGCTGGATTGATGCAGTTTGGGCCATGAGGCAGGGTTGCAGATTTCTTCGGCGTGATGCCGAGCGTGGCGAATCAAGGTGTTTCGTCTGTAAACTGCAGAAGATATGCCTGTGGCACGTGACTCTCTTATCAGACTAGGCATTCTACTATCCACCCTATACAGCGGAACCGGCAAACAATCCGTCCACAAACTAAAAGAATTTGACCTGATGATAGAAAAGAAAAAAAGAAACAACTCCTCAAGCCCAACGCGGGGCTCGAACCCGCAGCCTTGAGATTAAGAGTCTCACGCTCTACCGATTGAGCTAGCCGGGCAAAGGGAAAGAGGAAGTTGAACAGCCCAACGCGGGGCTCGAACCCGCAGCCTTGAGATTAAGAGTCTCACGCTCTACCGATTGAGCTAGCCGGGCTGGCTTGGTGATTGTCGCTTCGTTTTAGTGCTACAGAAGCCAGGGCTAACGAATAGCCGCTCTGGGTATAGTCTGCTTTTCTATGTCATGTGACATGGGTTTGGATGCTTCGTGTACGTTGTTAGTTACTGTCCTGCATACTGGTTTTCGATATTTCAGAGACTTGTGAGTTATTTGTCTTGCTTGATATGTCTGGAAGGGCTGTTTTTGTGGATTTGTGATGGTGGGGTTGTTTCTCTCCAAGGTGTCGACATATATATTGTGCGGATAGGACGTATCTCGGGCATTTTTTGATGAAGAAGTATGACAACAACAACCACAAACTACAATACACCGACGTGCACCAATATACAGACTATAGTAGGACAGCCTGCCACTCGAAAAATACACGTGCTGCCATGAATGCCCCAGGTCAAGTACTATCAGATGCGTACATTCACATACCCGTAGATATCAATCAGATGTGATCTAGACAGACCAATAAGAACCATCCGCCAAACGAGAAGTCGAAAGAATCGCGAAAATCCACATTTACAGGTTGACCAATGAAGACGTGCCACCGTGACGCGTATATGAGAGGGTATTCACTGTTTACTTATTGCGAGGAGATATTGGGTGGTGGGCTGATTGCCGGACCCTCGGATGTACCGGGCGGATGCTGTACAATGACCCGCCTACGGTGACCAACGTACTGTATCATGGATCTCGCAGACCCGCGGTAGCGTCGAGCATGCAATTCATTGTCTACGTAGTGTTGCCTATACCCCGAAGAAAACATGCGAGTTGCCGCAAGACATCTCCGATTCCAAAGACAATCCGACCATCCCGGACTAGCGCCGCGTGGGTGCACTAAAACCCATACATTGCCACATTTGCTGTAAGAACACTCACAGAGCACCATCACCATAACCACTGAGGGCTGGATTCAAATCAAACAACATACCTAGAACAGACCATGTTCGAACCCAGTCAAGCGAAGCGATATATGCCGGCATGAATTGCTGTGTCTATTTGAGAACTCTTATGCGCGCCACGAGTGGGCACTAGCCCAACGCAGAAGACTTGATTGGTCTCGGAAGGCCTCACTCACCATGAGTCATGTTGCACTCATGTTAGATGCTGCACCGCCTCTCCACCAGGTGGGTCGCGGGTATTCCAGACTCGGCAACTGTATAGATATCAAAATCGTATAAATGGGAATGGAATCCTGCATGTCGCCGACAATCAACAACTGTATTATTCTAAGATCTCATCGCAGAGTGACAGGTCCAGGCAGAATCCACACATCATCCAAGAATCGATCACCAAGTGATCAATGCCACTAGTACAAACAACCACATCCTCAGCTCACCACAATAGAATGGAGTTTCCCAGCCAACAATATCCCGTACCAGCAGGGGTACACATCATCCCAGAACATCTCCTGGACCTCCGTTCCGACTCCGAAGTCGACCATGACCTCCTCTACCCCCGACCTGTGACAGACGAGAAAAACATCTGGCTCTTCTGGCACAGCGGCTACTCCACCATGCACCCATATACAAAGCGAAACGTGCGCGCATGGCACCGGCGCTTCTCCAAAGCCGGCTGGGTCGTACGTGTTGTCGACCGCGAACCGTCTTCCCCACTCAACATAGCAACTTTCATCGATACCAATGACACGAACAATTTCCCTCGCGCATTCACCGAAGGTACCATCGGCGGTACGTACGCGAAGCAGCACACATCCGACCTTGTTCGCCTACCTCTACTCCTAAAATACGGCGGTATTTACGCCGACGTTGGACTGATCCAGATCGGCGACGTGGATAGACTATGGCGCGAGACGGTCGGAAACCCGGACTCGCGGTTCGAGGTGCTCTCCTATAATGCTGGCGATGCCAACGAGCGCAGTCTTACCAATTACTTCCTCATGTCAAGGCGTAATAACCCGCTATTCGAGCGGTGTCATCGTCTACTGTTGAAGTTGTGGGAAGGAAAAACGAGTACGGACGGGATGCATCGAAGTCCGCTGTTGAAGGAATTGCCGTTCCTCACTGGAACAGGGAATATGACGGAGCAGCAGTGCAGAGAGTTAACGGACTATATTATCCAGGGACAGGTTATGACTATGGTCATGGGCTTGGTCGATGAAGAAGATAACTGGGATGGACCGAAGTATGTCGCGGAGCATCTCTACGGCATTGAGTTCATGCAGGGGTCGCAGCTAATCAATGACATGACGGGGTGGGATGGTCGGAAAGCATTCGAGCTCATGTCGTTGCCGCTGCCCAAGGAAGGCGAGGTGGAGACCGCAGAGCAGAAGCAGGCAAGAGAGATCGTCGAAGCTTGTTTGACGAAGAGTTTCGGGTTTAAACTCGCTCACGGATATATCCTGGAGGTGATGAATGTGACACTCGGGTCGTTGTGGAGGGAGAATGAGGGATCAGATAATGTTCCCGGGACGTATGCGCATTGGCTCCGGCATGCAATCGTGCATTGGAGTCAGGACGCACTTCCGCCGACACAGCAGTATACTGTGCTTGAGCCGATTAATAGGGGACCGCTATTGCGGGAAGAGTAGATAGACACTATGATACCAGTATAAATAGCATCCATTAGATTCACAATGCATAGACATGATAAACCCATTCCTACCCCTCAAATGCCTGAAACAGAGGATCACCGCAATAGCCTTAACGTCCCAAACCGGCTAGCCCACACTCACCACACGCCACACTCACGTGCCATAACCATCAGCACCAGCCACACCTTACCTAAGCATCACGACCTATCAAACAAACAAGGCCACCTAGACCATCCATACATACAAAGCACAAGCACGTCACCACCAGCCCTCACAACCCCCCCAACGCAACCATGCTATCCGGAATCCAAAATGTACGGCAAACAGCCATTCAGCTGCTCAACTTTGGGCTGGTCCTGAGCACTGCATTTATGGTACGATACCTCCAATCCTTCCCATCACAAACTACCATCGGGGAAAATAAACGATCGCAAGATCAATTGCTTACAGACACTAACGCACTGGAAAATCTACAGATGTGGAAAGGTCTCTCTGTCCTCACCAACTCCCCCAGTCCGATAGTAGTCGTCCTCAGTGGCTCCATGGAGCCCGCTTTCCAGCGCGGAGATCTCCTCTTCCTCCGGAATACGCAACCGACGCTGAACGTTGGAGAGATCGTGGTGTATCAGGTCAAGGATAAGGATATTCCGATTGTGCATCGGGTGGTGAGGCAGTTTGGGGAGGGGTGAGTGTATTTCCCACATTCGGATTGTGTTCGTTCCAGGAACGAAGGTTTCAACTTGCGAGTGAGCGCAGTTTGCTAATCAGGTTATGGTTCGAATCATGCAGATCCGAAGCCAAACTACTCACGAAAGGCGACAACAATATCGCGGATGATACGGAACTCTATGCGCGCGGACAGGATTACCTCGATCGGGACGATGTCGTGGGAAGCGTGTTTGGGTATATTCCGTTTGTGGGGTATGTGACGATTCTTCTGTCGGAGCATCCGTGGTTGAAGACAGTGATGTTGGGGGTTATGGGGTTGTTGGTGCTTTTGCAAAGGGAGTAATGGGGTAGGAGTTCGTTTTCTGGATCTGGATTCTTTTCTGCCTGGTTTGTTTGTCAGGGTATTTTTTTTTTGGGTTTTGGGGTTAGCTGGGTTAATAAATGCATATTGGGTTGCGGTTCATTCAAGTGCGGTTGTGTTTGTTGTAGGGTGGTTGTAGGTTTGGTGCTGGAGTGTGTTCGGAGCAGTAACTGGTTAATGATGCGATCGGGAATGGAACAGAGCTACTTAGTATGCTTTGTCGGAGACTTGGTCAAGTTGATTGTCATCTGCAATAGACCTCAGTCACAGCAGGACATCTATGACATGCTTGACTGCTATCAGCAGTAGATCAGTGACGCCAACTATGGCTGTTCACATGATATCATGTGGTCGCTAGTCTAGAAGACATGGGCAACTTTCACCTGCATATGACACTGTATAAAACCCCCGGCACCTCAGGAAAGCGAAAGTGCCTTACACTAGACTAAGACGTCAGTGATTCATGATATCAGGACCTTAACACCTGCCTAGTATCACCATAAATATCTCACCCGCTGAATAACAGCCTTTCTCAAACCTCGCAGTGGCCACTGAAACATGCCCCGACCGGACACACTCGGAACCAAATTCCCTCAGCCGGCTCTGCTCATACACCCAAAGTCAATTCAAGCTGCACAGCTCACTCCAGATTGCTACATGAGGCAACATGCTGAAGCTCATCTTGCCACAGCGGAAGTTTAAGCTTGTATATCCATAGTGTGGGAGTCAGAGAATCAGGTTTCCAACCTCTCATGACGACTGCACCTGGGGTATGAGATGAGTATACTGACATCTCTCTAGTAGTGTGCACTATACTGCGTAATCGCTGAGTCTAGACACCCAGCCCAGTTTACGCTAGTTCACATTGATCGCAACAAGCAAGACACTAGCCTAGTGTCATCCAACTCGCACCGCTAATTCTTCGCCACACCCCAAGATTTTCTGCCAGGTCATCGATCTTGGCCACAAACTCCATGGCTGAACTCAATTGCAAAGTGTGAACCTCGCAAGCAGGGTCGGTTCGCCTCGAAGTCCAATCCAGTTTGAATATTCGTGGATGTCAACCAAACAAACACATACTGTGGAGATAGCAATGCTGAAGCAGGTTAGCAGCAGCTATTAGAATTGCCGCACAAATGCCATGCATTGGCACAAGTTGTGTGCTGGTTCCACCTGCTCCTTCTGGGATAAACAAACGACACTAAAAGTGTCCAGATCTACTTCCTCCCCACCCACAAGCAGAACAACAGACCCTCGTGAAAGAAAATTCTTTGACCCCGTTGGAAGGATACCGTCCATGGAATTCTCGGCAACAAGACGCTGGGTCGTCAGGAACACCGCGCACAGGGCGACGCCCTCAAAACGTGTGCTGCCCCGCCAAGGAGCAGCTGCTTTCCCTCTTTGAGAAATCCAAGCTCTTGACCCACGGTTTGCTCTCGCCCAATAACCGCTGACTGTGCATGGATTTTGTAGGCGATGTTTTGCCATTGGTCGGAGCGGATGTTCCCCTGGACCGGTTACATTTTCGCCCAATGAGCGTTGTTGCTTTGCCTGAGGGCGGAACCACTGCTTGCGTGCATTGGGTTCGAGCCCCTGGCCCAGAAAGGTAAAACCATGGTTGATGGTGACAATTCGTGGATTGATTATTTTTGTGAATTCTTCTTTTGTGGGCTTTATTACTGTCTTGGCTGTGAGGGCTTTGTGCGCTGCTGGTAAGTTGAGGGTGAATAGGGACTGAATGGGTGTAGAGGCAGGTTATCGATGGTTGAAGGTGAGTGCTAGAAGGGGGAAGCAAAGACCAGTTGGACAGACAGAAAACAGATACGCTTGGCCAAAACCACTGTCAACGAAAATAGTGCGTACTAACAGCTCCACCAGGCTATAGGAAACCCAGTTTTCTGAGCAGTTTGTCGTCCACTCCACTCTACATTGGCGATTTCTTTGATCCTTTCGCCCGCTTGCTTCTAACTGAACAGACATAGTCTCATGCATCAGCCTTGTGGCCGATGAGACTGAAACAGCCCAATCCTTACACACATACAATGGAAGTAACAGCCTCAAGCCACTTTTTGAGGCATGAATCGACGGCAGTCACACACACATGAAACAGCCGATACCTTTGGCTGAGTTTTCAAACAACTCTTCTCATGTCACAACCTATCTCCCCCCCACCAAGAAACCCTAATCCACTCCTCCACCGACCACAGTCCAGATTCATGGCAGTGGATGCCTCTAAACTTCATCCCAAGCCAATAACTAGCCAATGGGATTACTTTGCTTGCTTCGACTTCCATAATGGCTTGTAGACCCTCCACCGCGTCAACCACCCTCCACTACCTCAATCCATGGCATACAGGCTGACGCACCCCATCCCCTCCCTGTTCTGGACACATCCATTATTTCTGTTCCAGAAGAGAGGCAGCCATGGCACGCCCATTAGCACAGGTATATAGACCTCGTCTTCTTCTTCCATATCCTCCTCTCTGAACACTCAGGAAATCGTGATTCCCAACTACTACACAGTCTTTACATACCAAGACTCCGTCGTACTCTTTCGATAGGTGTACGACATCCATTCCTTACATTCACACTATCGTTATACACACTCGCTCGACGCGACAAACACACACTCTCTACATACACTCTCTTAAAATCACAAGAAAGATGTACTTCACCACCCCCTTCCTGCTGCTGGCAGCTGCTCTCCCCAGCGCCCTCAGCCAGCCGACCCCCACCAAGGTTCAAGGCCACTCCCGTCGCCAGATCGACATCTCGGCCTCTGCCTCGGTCTCCATCTCCGCCCCCTCCTCCAGCTCCAGCTCCAGCTCCACCAGCAGCGCCAGCTCCTCCGACTGGACCTCCACCCCCAGTGACGGCGACTACTCGACCTCTGGATTCGGCTCCGAGACCTCCGCCTACGGCAGCGGCAACACCTACATGGGCAACGTCGGCAACCCGTGGGGCAGCAACATGGTCGAGGTGTCTGCCTCCGAGGCCTCCAACTACAAGTACGTCATGCAAGTGACGGGCCAGAACACCGAGGACTGGACCGTTGTCTTCTGGAACAAGTACGGCCCCGATGGAAAGATGGACGGCTGGTACGGATACTCTGCCCTGTCCTTCACCCTGTCCCCTGGTGACACCAAGTACGTTGCCTTTGATGAGGACACCCAGGGCGGATTCGGTGCCGCCCAGGGCTCTTCCCTCCCCACTGGTAGCAGCGGCGGATATGCTTGCACCTGGGGTGAATTCGATTTCGGATCCACTGCCAACAGCGATTGGTCTGGATTCGATGTTAGTGCTATCCAGGCTCAGGACAATGATATGAGCGTTCAGGGTATGCAGATCTGTGATGCCCTGGGCTCCACTTGCTCCAGCATCACGGCTGATGCCGCCGAGGTTGACAATGCTTATACTTCTGCTGAGACTGATGAGGGTGGTATTGGCGGAAACCTCTCTGCTGGACCTGTTCGGTTGGCTGTTGTCATTGACTACAGTGGTTAAACGGTTTATATAGACTAGAAATGGAGTGATGGTTTTTTCTTTAAAACCTAGAGTGAACTGTAGTGAAGAGTAGGAGTGTACGATTAATGTAGATGTGTATACAGGCTTATCGGGTGGCTGATGATGGCTGATGGCGGATGGCGGATGGCTGATCGCGACTTCTTCCGCCATGGCGACAGCTAATAACGCCACGATTTAGTTTGTCGATCATGTCGATCTTGATGATCTTTTCACGACCTCATCTATATCGATGCAGACTATTCTTTGATTGTTCTGGTTAAATTTACAACAATGTAGTGGTATTTAAGAGTGAATGGATTGGACTTATCTTTTCTAAAAGGCACACTTTGGTGATAACCCCAGTCTCAACTCACTTGTAACTCTAATAACATGTGATATACCCATGAGAGATTGAATTAAAAACCACAATGATAGATGCTAATAAATAGCAAAGAATGCAAACGCACCTGCCGGGAATCCAACACCTTGAATACTCACCTTTCTTTAGTAGACCAACCCGCACCACCCACTATCGCAGCCAACAACACCCTCTACCCTCCACCCCCACGACTACACGAAACACCTTCACCACCACCACTCTAAATCAGAATAAATCCCTCAAACAAGTATCTACCTCACCATCCACCCATCCACCATCTACACCCTCCAACCCCGATCAGCCACCCACCCAGCCACTCCCCCCTAACCAACCCAAACACACATCCCAAAATCCACCGCCGACACTCTAGACCATTCCACCACTACATACATACTATTCCCTCCAGCACAAAAATCCAGACTTCATAGACTCTACTCTATCACATGGTAACCGACTACATCCCCCCACCGACGCTGCAGAACAGCACCTTGGAAATTTCCCCGAGTACTCTCCGCTATCTTCAGACAGAAGTATATTACGGAGTCCCCACGGAATCCCGTTGCAGACATTATCAGGGATTTAGAATAAAAAGTTCTGAGATAAACACGTGCATCTCGCATGATATCGTCTTGCATGGTGTCGGGGGGAAAACTGCGAAGTTTGAATGAAGATTTAATTTTGGATTGTCGGGGGACCGGTGGAGTACGTATTCTATTTTACTGAGTAGTATACTATGAAGATATTTTAGCGATAGTATAGTGTTATGTTCTGGCAGAGATGGTAAGTCCGGGTGGGATATCCGGATAGAGAATAATCTCGGCTAGAAAGGGAAATTGACTAAATGAATTGAAATTGACCTATAACGAATATAGTATAGTATAGTTATAAATTAAACCCCTATGTCATAGCGCTCACCCCAGGGGAGAGGGGTGTTTCCCTGGCAAGAGCTGCAGAAGTTAGCCCAGTCGTGTCGTGCCTGGTTCGAATGATCGGGTTGCGATCAGGATCATGATATCACCCTTGTCATTATTATCAACGTTAATATCCATGTTATGCAAATATAGGATTAATCAATCACTCTATTCTATTACTGCTCGGTATAGATAATAAAACATGCATATCCGGCGTATACCGCGTATAACCAACCCATACCATAACCACATCATAACCTGTCTGTCTATGTATCTGTGCTATGTACCTTGCATCTCCGATGAGGTAGGTAAGTTCCAGGAATATGACTGGACGATGAGTATAAATTATGATGTTGGAAAAAAAGGGCATGGATTGAGGGATTAAGTCAGGGGCTTAAGCGGGTTTTCCGACCTTCCGCTTAGTTGGCTGGCTAGCTAGCTGGTTCGTAGGAAGGATTTCGCCGGTACCCTACGGAGTAACTAGTACATATTTAGTATCTTCTGATTGTCAGTGGAATCCTGCGGAAATGCCACACAACTTATCTTTTGCATAATGATTTCTATCGGTCATATCGGAGGCTTTGATAAGGAGGAGTTAAACTGAACTTGTTTGCTATTGTAGTGGATACTGCTCCATATGGATAGGTTCTTTCTTGTCTTGTGCTGCCTACTATGAGTCTAGTACTCTGCTAAATCCGGAGAAGCTCCCCGAAAGGGAAAGTCAATTCCCGAGCCGGAAGCTGGAAGCTGGAAGTTGAGCTCGCTCGGAGCTAAGTTTAGAGAGACTGGAATAAATAACAATGATTGGATTGGTATTAGTGAAGGAAGAATTAGGATCAGCAAGAAACAGATAGAAGATACAAGATACTACTACTACGATTTCATTTAGGACAGATATCAATCCAATCAATTCGTAAGACTGGGTAAAGGTAAAGTTGGGTGCCTGCAGAGATCAGAAGCAGAAACCCGGAGATAAATTCGCCGAAGCGGATAAGTATAAGTAAAAAATTGATTAAAATAATAACTTACAAGCGAATTGGCAACAGTATTCGTCAAGAAGATTAAGCTCAATCAAGAAGGGATCAGCCGGACGGATCCCGCCCGTTAGTTATGATTGGATGGATTATTAAAGAAACCGCCCCCCACACCAAACAATCCTTTTGTGGCGGCATTGTCTGACTGTTTAGCTCTATCGTATCTGATTGGTTGCTGTGCCTTGTCACCGGCTTTATCTCTGCAGAATTAGACTCCTGCTTTTAATCTATTTCTCTGTACACTAAATTCTCCATCGCTGTTGGTGCTGTGCCCCGAATCGGATTCCCCCTCGCGCCTCGTCCGTCATGATTCATTTCATTTTCGATCTCCACTGTCCGTGCAGTGCAGACTTTCAACAAAACTGCTAATAGACTGGCTGAAAAAGGTTACATCCGATTTCGGCCAAGACACGCCGGCTCAAGCCCCTCGATTTATCTAGTCTACTTTTGTTCGTACTCAGTCTTGCTGTTAGCTAGCCAGCCAGCCAGCAGCATTCTACGAGATAGTAGTTACCTAGCATTATTTCTCTCCAATCCTCCCTTATCATACCCCTGCTAGCCAATTGATGACTTTCCCCGCACACCTTTTCCCCTCTCTTGGTACTACTAACATTTGTACTATTCTCTTTTCAGTTTCCATCCCAACCCGCGCCCCTCCCTGATTGCTTATCATTCGCCCACAAGGCTTGGGCGAAGCTTGTTGTGCCTGCGCCGGTGCCTCTTCCCTTTTCAATCCCCCATGCCTCTTCGGGCAACGCCATCCGCCCACTAATCCTCCACTCCAATATACCAAACCTGCCCAAAGCGCCAGCCAGCTCCCTTAAGCCCTGCCGTAAGATAAGCCCGAGTAACCTAGTTAGTTGCCGCTGCTCCCGGCGCTGGGCCAAGCCGTCGGACTTCCGTCCCCCCCTCTCTCTTCACTTCCCCCTCCCCTCTCCACTGGTGGAACGATGTCTGGTTGACTTCAATTCGCCCCTGGATCGGGTGGCTGTTGTACTATTGCATGTTCGTCCGCAACTTCTAGGGAGAGTTTCGTTCTATCCGGAGTATCCGTGTTTAGTCCGCGGGTTGGCTTGCCGGCTGGCTGGCTAGCCGTGCCCGTTAGGTAAGGTCCTGATTGAGGACCTTACTAGGTAGAAACGGGATCCAACCATGAGGGGAAAAAGAGGCGTATATGGCTTGCCGGGAGGTCCTTTGCAGCCTGGATGAAGGAAGAGGAGATGATCACTAATGCAACACAATCTTGGCTTGCAAGGCATTGCGCTCCAACCAGAATGTCTCTTTGCGTAGAGAGATGCCAACTCGTGCGGGCCATGCTGGACGAATAGTATGATGCTCTGATGCTCCACTCTAGCTCGACCTTTTGCATGTCCGCAATCGTTTTCCCCGTATCGTTGGGCGGGGACCGTCTCTTTTCTGCAGCTATGGCTGCTGCTGCCCCGACGGTGAACGACTCTGCATCCCCGGTTTTAGTCAACTTTAGTTGGCGGACCTGGAGATTAAACTCCGTCGGACGAGGAGGAGCAGTGGTGTCATCGTCGGCGGATTGCATGCTATCGGAAGAGCATGGAAGAGGAAAAATAGAAAAAATACCAGCTTCATCTGCAGAAATCTCGAGCATAAATAGAGGCCTGAGTTCCGCTGTTCTGGTTGCTTTTCTTCTTCATCCAGCATCGCAAGTCTCTCAAGCATCGCCTGGTTCGATCATCTCACTCTTCCACCACCGACCTTGTCAATAAGTTAGCTCTTCATCTTTTCGAAGAAACCAACCCTCCAAACGTCAAAATGAAGTTCTCTGCTATCCTTACCGGCTCCCTCTTCGCCACTGCCGCTCTGGCTGCTCCTCTCACTGAGAAGCGCCGTGCTCGCAAGGAGGCCCGCGCCGCTGCCAAGCGCCACAGCAACCCTCCCTACATCCCCGGTTCCGACAAGGAGATCCTCAAGCTGAACGGCACCTCTAACGAGGAGTACAGCTCCAACTGGGCTGGTGCCGTTCTGATCGGCGATGGCTACACCAAGGTCACTGGCGAGTTCACTGTCCCCAGTGTCTCTGCTGGCTCTAGCAGCAGCTCCGGTGGCTACGGTGACTATGGCTACGGCTACTACAAGAACAAGAGACAGTCCGAGGAATACTGTGCCTCCGCCTGGGTCGGTATCGACGGTGACACTTGCGAGACCGCTATTCTCCAGACCGGTGTCGACTTCTGCTACGAGGGTGGCGAGACTTCCTACGAGGCCTGGTACGAGTGGTACCCCGACTACGCCTACAACTTTGACAGCCTCTCCATCTCCGAGGGTGACCAGATCAAGGTCACTGTCGAGGCCACCAGCAAGAGCAGCGGTAGCGCCACCGTTGAGAACCTGACCACTGGTCAGTCCGTCAGCCACACCTTCAGCGGCAACGTCGAGGGTGACCTTTGCGAGACCAACGCCGAGTGGATTGTTGAGGACTTCGAGTCTGGTGACTCCCTAGTTGCTTTCGCTGACTTCGGCTCCGTTACCTTCACCAACGCTGAGGCCACCAGCGACGGCTCCACTGTCGGGCCCTCTGACGCCACCATCATGGACATCGAGCAGGACAGCACCGTCCTCACCGAGACTTCCGTCTCTGGCGACAGCGTCACTGTCAAGTACGTCTAAAAGCATCTCTATGCATGAGATATCGGTCGCTTCAATGTCTTTGTCTCGACGACAAGCCCTGGGGATGAATGAAAAATGAGTGATGAGCTATCCGGATTGATCTGATCTTGTTGAGTTGTTAATTCTGCTTCTGTTGATGATTTTGAGTGATTGTACCTACTTTGAGTGGAAGAAATAAATGCGCGCGCGATGCTGAAAATAAATGTTCCTCGTCTAGTAGATTGTAGAAGGTATTCTGAAGTTGTGCTGTCGATCTGAAGATCCGAAGATCACTAGTGAGATCTCGCAGCTCGGCTGTGTAAGTGCTTTTGCTCTGTCGATCATAACTTTGTAAAAGCTTGTATAATGGCGGACATATATCATTCATCTGAATGACTCAAACTGATTTGTTTTATGAACAGCCTAATTTAGACAGGGGTTGGGAGAGTCGGGTGGAAGCGTCGGGTCGTGGATGGCATGTTGGAAGGCTCTTACCATGAACCCAAGGATCGGCAGTATGGGGCTAATGACGAAGAGAGAACCAAAAAATACTTTAAGAGATCGTATAGGGGCTTTGAAGTTAGTGAAAGCTTTATTAAGGGAGATGAATGATGGCTTGGCTTACCTTTTTCGGGAATAGTGCTTGAGCCATCGAGATAGAGACATGGTCATACAGGGCTCAAGCACAGCCAATGCTTGGTAAGTGCAATTCCAGGCAAGATCGTTAACTTGAAAATTAGACAGAGGCCTAAAAACACGAATCAGATGCCTAGGGGCAACATAATCATGGTAGCTCGGTTTCGATAATGAATGTAGGCCGTCAAAACTTTCATGCTTTTTGGAAGATATGACGTTGAGAAGTGACACGTGATCCGTATAGGCAGCAGAGTAGAGCCACACCTTAGTTTGTATGTCGTAAAATAATGAAGAAGGCTTAGGCGCTGTGTATAAGAGAGGCTGGTGAAGTACATCACTAGCTTTGTAAGTGTGAGTGTCTCTTCGTTCGGGACAACGATGTTCTGAAGATGTCAGCTATGGATGATGTGACATACCACCTCTGAGCACCGTGTTCTTGCACGATGAACAACGCATTAGCTGGACATAGAAGAGTGTTTTCTGTATCATGAAAGGACGGGCTTCTCGTATAGATAACTTCTCGCCAGACATGGCAAGAGGTTACTGCAAATGTAGCATGATAACTGCAGCCTTATCGATTGACGCGAGTTCGTGTCATTAAGCTATATTAGCAATGCAGCCAATGCAGGGACCTCGGGGTCCGATGCCGTTACCCTGAAGCTGTCAGGTACAGGATCTAGGCTGGGATAAAGCAGAGATCCCACCTGTCGCCATACTTCCCTTGAGTGGGACTATTCCGTATTGGGAATGTGCACAGAATGCATGACATATGATGACGTAAGTGTTTGTGCAGAATGCATAAGTCAATGCAGTGCCTTCCTAATTGGGTAGAAAGCTTTCCAGCAGGACCAACTCTTACTTAGTACTTAGTGCTAATATCGATTATAGAATCTCTATCGTAGTGCAGACGATGGCCTGAAAGCATCTGAAACAGAAGGATATCTCTAAATCATACACATAACTTAGGAATCAATGATGAACATCTTGTCCACTCAGTCACAGCAAATTCGATACATCAATCATTCAACTCCTCGACACGTGACAGGTCTATTATCCTACATGCGTGTAATTAACCAATCTCCCAATCTTTGTCAAATAATACCAGTCAAATCACCAATATAGATATAGTGAATGGAATAAGGAAAGTTCCATATTCACGACACGGAACCAAGATCCGTTGCCGGCTGATGCCGTGCCCCTCCTTCCATTTTAGATTTCTCTATTTAATATACTTCCACCCTTCTCACTCCCCTCTATCCAACTTCCAACTCTTCATCCAACCCCCAATTTCTTGCCCTTCTGACATCTTCTCTCTAACAAACAAAAACAAACCACAACCATGTCCAGCTCCGGAAAGGACTTCAGCTACAAGGGCTCCGGCACCAACAGCCAGGTAAGTTCCATATACCATGTGTCACCCTCAAGAACGACTAACAAACCAACTTAATATAAAAAGGGAAATCACTGGTGCTCCCGCGACTACGGATCCGGTAGCTCTAACTCGAACTCTTACCACTATTCGAACAGGTCAGTTATTCTTCTTAATACCCTACCTATACTTCTACTAAGGCAAACCAAAACCCATCTAATGCCTTCCTCTCAGTGACGGCTCTTACTACTACTCCAACCCCAATGGAAGTACCTACTACAACAACGGAAGTGGTGGTTCGACCTATACTCCTCCCAGCGGAAACGGTGGCTCGACCAGAAAGAAATAAGTGTGAAGCCTAGAGCCTTGAACGCTGAGGAGGATCACATTGAGACTTAGTGGTAGTAGCTTAATGCGATTCACCTGTAGCTGTACCAGTTATTTTTGGGATTGAGCTTCTTTCTTCCCCATCAATGACGAGGATAATAACGATGGTATAGCGACGGAGTATCTTTACACCGCAGGAATTTGACCTGACGTTTGCTTGTTCCTCTCCAAATGCATGCGCTCCGATTAAGTGCTGATCCTTGAAGATCTAAGTAAGATCTCTGCTATCTTGTGGGGTACTGCTTGGCTTGAAGGTCTTATCATAGGTCGTATGTTATAAGTTCGTAGCAGTTTCGCGTTAATAGAAACGGTAAACAAGTTGTGCGTACTTGGCATAGCTACTACATTATACAAGGGTTTCTTATTCAAGATTTGGCTAACGGCAAGTATTATTCTTAAAAGTTCATTATTCAATTGGAAACTCAACTTTTCAATGAATAGTAGTTTATTAATCAAAGTATGAGGCTGATAGTTAGTATCATGTGAAGAATAATATGCTTACTTTTCCGGAACCTTCAGAAGCTTCCAAAGCAACCTTCCGCTGACAGTGTAAATGCAAAAGCAAGCCACACATCATACCTATCCAAATATAAAATAATGCTACTATCCTCTATGAACTACTACTAGTTCATGTTGAATACTTATGAAATATTGCATACTGATTGGTTGTGTGACTTGGATGCGCTCAGGCACACACAAATCTCGGCAGGCAGAACCAGTACCAACCCACCATCCACAACTTCCCAATAACGATTAGCGTGTCTTCTTCCCGGTCGGCGTATCTCTTTAACGCGACCACCGCATTAATTGCCCCTCCACACTTGATCATCATTTACCATTGCTATCCCCGTTTCTTAGGGGATTTTTTTTTCTCTCTTGTTGAGAACTTTCAAGAACAACAACAGATAATTACTGGGAGCATGTCTCACAGACTCTTTATCCTCGTTTACAGAGGCGATCCCCTCGATTACAGCGAATACCGACACACGGCTCTGTACGTGCAATTCGCATCACAAAAACGCAGTATCCTACATATTCTAGGCACCCAGGGTCTCTATAGATATGTGGAATACCCTGGGGCTGATCCGATGGAACTTGGGGATTTGGTGCGTGCGGTGCCGGTGACGGATTTGTCGGTCTCCGTTGAGGAAGATGATATTCGGGAGACGGTGGCACGAACGCCGGTGCGCAATGGGTATTTGGATTTGGAGTGGAACTGCCAGCACTGGGTGGGGGATGCCTTGGCCAGATTGGTGGACAGAGGTTGGGTCGCAGACACGGAGCGGGCGGATGCAATCGATAAGATGACCGATGCTTGCTTGGAGGCCCGTGATGACCAGCTGCTCGATGCTCAGTGATCGGGTTTGTTCCTTTCTTTTTCAAACAATGAAAGTATGTATGCGTATATTCTTGCCCGCCCAGACTTCGTGAGATGTTGATTAATTCTCCTAGGTTTCCATCAGTGGTCATCCTCGAGGTGGAAAGTGATCTCACGCCTTGGTGGCTGGGAGTGAGATCGGTTGTTGAGACTGCGTTGCTGCAGTGTGGGGTAGCACCGGGTTAAAAAGGCGTCACTTGAACTATTTTTGCCTCCAAGCAGCAAGCTCCATAGTTTATCGGTACTTGCGTGAATGCGTATAGGCCACAGAATACGCAACACCCATTCGTTGTGGCATTGTCGCGTGGGGTTTCTAGTGCTTATCACATCAGTCGCCAGGCAAGCGTGATCCCCAATGAGTGAGGCCTACCTCTTTCGACAATTACTGATTAAGTTTGGAGTGGTTACACCCGATTGAACCGCTTCAGGGCCTGTCCACTTGGCTGAAGAGGGCGGGCCTTATGCTGGATTATGTACGTACATCTCGGTGAGCGTACGGCTGGTCGTGTTAGGGAAGATCCGAGATTCTGCATCTCGGGAACAGGTCATCATGGGCATTGAGGGGCATAACAGGGAACAAAAATGAATTAGAAAGCAAACAATGGAAGAAGCAAAAATCTTCATCGCTTTGAGTGATGTCATTCGGGGCTTCGCCGTGGAACCTTCATGCTGTTATCGTTCAACTGCATACGCTGCGGTGATTATATGAAAATTGAAAGTTGACACGTGAGAGATGAGCTGCACAACTAGAGTAACTCAGGTCGAATTGATCCTTCCTGCAAGCATCTTTCCTAGCTGAACGCTAGTAAGAACTCCGCAAAACAGGGCATGAATGGCTGAAGGGCCATCATCTCATTCCTATCTCCCTTGATGGTTGTGTCAGCATGCCAGTCTTATCCTGCTGCCGAGGCTGTCCCTACTCCACACGAGGCCCTGTTCGCCAATGATTCAGGCATTCTAGAGCTACAAGGTATGGTTCAGGATCGGCAGATACCCTCCGTGGTAACCACCGGAGCTGCGGCTTGCCATCATCTGATACATCACTCAACCGCTGCTTAAAAGCACTTCTGGTCGCCCGTCAACCCAGAATTTTCATCCCCTGTTCATCTCCAGACAGAATTGTAGCTCACCATGGATTTCAACAAAGTTGACCATCCTGTTTTTACGATTGCGACTGTCATTCTCTTTCTTTGGTATACCATAACCTACCTGCAACGAAAATGGACGCATCGTCGTATAATGAAAGCGAACAATTGTCAACCACCACCATCTTATCCTCAAAAGGATCCTATCTTCGGCCTCGATATTCTTTTTGAGCAGATTAGATATGTCAGGAAACACAAGCTTCTCGAGCGGTTCAGCGAGCGATTCAAGCTATATGGCAACACATATACACAACGACGATTGACCTATTACGTTATAACTTGCGAGCCGGAGAACATAAAGACAATCTTGTCCCTCCGATTTAAGGATTATGGCTTGGCCGGCCGTATCGATGCAATGGGTCCGCTTTTGGGCCATGGCATCTTCACCAGCGACGGCGAGCACTGGGCGCAGTCGCGTGCCATGGTTCGTCCAAATTTCGCGAAAGAGCAAGTCGCGCACTTGGAAATTTTTGAAGAACTCGTCAACGAAATGACCACACTGATCCCAACCGATGGCAGAACGGTCGATATACAGGAGTTATTCTTCGAGCTCACCATCGACTCTGCAACGGAATTCCTCTTCGGGCACAGCGTGCACAGCCTCAAGAAGCGACTGGCTGGGACCCGTGACAGTACAGAACAGGACTTTGCAGGAGCTTTCAATTATGCACAAAAGGCCATCGCAATGAACCTACGCCTTGGTAAGCTCAAATATCTCCTGCGCGACCGTAAAGCAGAAGAGTCCAATCGTATCTGCCATAAATTGGTGGAGCAATTCGTCGACAGTGCACTGAAAGTGCGAGAGCAGTCCAGCAACCAGAAAGCATTTATCGAAGAGGATAGTCACGATGCAAAGGGAAAGAAAAATTACCTTTTTCTGCGTAGTCTAGCCCAGCAGACGGGAGACCGAAGGCGGATTCGCGACGAACTAATGAATATTCTCCTGGCCGGGCGAGATACCACGGCATCCTTGTTGAGCAACCTGTTCTTTATGCTAGCAAAGAACCCTCGCATCTGGAAAAAACTGCGCGAGGAAGTTACTTTCCTCGAAGGCCGCCCGCCGTCGTACGAGCAACTGCGTAATCTGACATATGTGAAATTCTGCCTGAATGAATGTAAGTCATCCCGACCCGCAAAAAGTCTGATGAGCCATGGCTTACTTCGGCACTGTAGCTCTTCGACTCCACCCTGTTGTCCCAGCAAATCTGCGTTTTGCGAACACGGATACAGTACTTCCGCGCGGTGGTGGGCCAGACGGCAAGTCGTCTGTTTTCGTACCAAAGGGCTCGATTGTTGCCTATCATGTCTATGCTCTTCACCGTCGTGAAGAATTTTTCGGCCCGGATGCAAATGAGTTCCGGCCTGAACGTTGGGCTGAGATCCGTCCGGGATGGGAGTACTTGCCATTCAACGGGGGACCACGAATTTGCGTTGGCCAACAGTATGCACTGACGGAGGCAGGGTATGTCACGGTTCGGCTAGCCCAGAAGTTCTCTGTGCTTGAAAGCAGGGATCCAGGGCCGTGGGTGGAGGAGTATGCACTGACCGTTTGTTCAAGGAATGGGACGAAGGTGGCATTGAGATGATTCCTGCTTGTTTCTGTCTGAATTTGTAAAGATGGCGATAAATTAAGAGCGTATTACGTACATAGTATCTCCTCCAGTTATTATTTGGTAGAATTGAGTATTCATGGTTTTGTGCAATTCTACACGGAACTATATCAACTCGGGGTAGCTGCCAATGTCACAAGCGAAGAAAAGTCAGGTGCCAGTTGGTCACGAGATTTTGTCCGGGTACCTGACTTGGAGGGAAGGCAGGTCCATGCCAGGGAGGACTCTATAGCATGAATGTGTCTGACATGTGCCGCAGCTCAAAAGAGCTCAATACTTCGCAATGTATTATGCGGAGATATTTTATTCACTGGAGCCAGGTATTACCAGATCCTTCACCACCTGTGTCCATGTAGTCTCTAACTACCACCACTACTACCATGGCAACTAACATCATTCTGATATATCTTTGGTGATTATGGAATGAAGATGGCTAGACGGAGTAAAATCATCCAGCAGAACCGCTATCAAGTGAGGCATTCATTGTTTCTCTTCGCGAGATCCCTGAGGGTTCAGACAGATCCGGCATGTTGAACAACCAAACAAGTCAGTGATGAATCATATCATGGAATGTGTCAGTGGTTATACACACGACCGATCTAGTCTCTTCTCTTTGCCTTGAGTTGTTTTGCTGCAGAAACATGGAGGAAACGAACACTATGTCAGCGAGGTAACTTTGCATGGCCGACTCCTTACAGGTGCTATAGTTGGCACAGCTTCAGTTAGGCGAGGTGTAGTAGGTACGTGCAGCCCCCCTTGCTATCTCCTAGTAGCCCAAGAACAATTAGTTGCTGTACGTCGGATTATTCTAACATGTGTTTAATAGGTTCATAACATTCTTTGTCCTTCGCTCCACAGTACGAAGGCTACAGCCACTGACACATTCCAGATCATGAGAACCATGATACGCATCACTGACTGATTGGGCTTTTCAACAGGCTGAGTCCGTCTCAACCCTCAGGGATCTCGGGTAGAGGGAAAATGGCTGTCTCACTTGATAGCGGGTTTGCTGGATGCTGTTATGTGGGGAACTACTGCAGACTCAACAAGGCCATGGGCTGTATAGCGAGACCATACGAAAAGCCTGATGTCGCACAAGAAAACCGGAGCAAAGGGGGCGGCAAGTAAAAGTATCGGAAAGAAAGGAGACGGAACACAAGATTCGTGGGCGTCGACATGATTACCTATTATTAGTAGGTGACGAAGAACGGAAACAAAGAGAAGCCCAAGCCAAGGAAAACATGCAGCCGGGGCCCGCTGCCTTATAACAACTGGGCGTGACACAGCAGCATCACATATATCTGCCCGTCTGGCTAGGAAGTAGAGCTTATAACGAAAAAGGGAACTCGTCACTAGGCAAACCGACATGACAGGCCACGTCTAGCGTATCAAACCCGCGCTCTGTACCTGTCGTCGGGTGAAACGAGGCTGAGATGTATCCTGTCATATGATGGGTTTGCATGCGACGACGGCTCGTACCTGGAAAGATGCCTGTTGGTTTGCCATGCTTTCGCACCAGCTCTAAATCTTACTAGTCATTTAGTATCAGGAACCCAGCCGGGTTCCACAACATCCAGATCCAATGGCCAGCCACAGAGATGGGAGGTTAGTTATTTATCATCATTCGTTGGTTCTGACGCTTATGGCGGTGAACTCAACCCTCACAGGCTTCCTTCCACAAGCCGTTCTTTGAGCCTTGGGTTCCTTTTCCTTGAGGCTGGAAATACTGATTAACAGGGCGACGGAAGTGGCGGTGAAAAGGAGGCCTAGAAGATTCCCGTCCCACAATTTTATCTGCCAATGGTGCTTTTTCCGGCATTCTGAAGTATCCATGAAGCTGTGGTCAGTGGTGGATCTCAGGGTCCTGCAAGATGGACAACGGAATTGCTTCCCCGATTGGACTATTGATCGCCTGAAGCAATTGCCAGCCATTTTTTGCGCAGATGTGGTTCAATAGACGGGCTGACGGACTCCATCCGCCGCGGTCCAGCCGATCGGAAACACGATCAATCGCGATACCCACCGAATTAAACATGTCTGACTTTCTCGAATAACGCACCCACACACCTCGAAAGAAGAAAGGGCGAAACTTCCATGGATCGATGTGTCGATCTGCATCTCATTGCTTTTTCTCATCAATTTTTCTCTTCTTTGTCGCCCGTCCTCCCTTTCTTTCTTTTTGAGTTCTAGATTCCGCCCGGCGACCGTCTCAGTCGGCCCACTCCTCCAACATCGTCGTCACTTGTCGCACAATAGATTCCATTGCTACTATAGCCTAACCGGCTCGTCGGTGCCCAATACCCGGGATCAAAACTACTAGTATGCCCGGAAGACCATCCGCGTGAACGGATCGGAGAGTAAGAAGCCAATCAGACCAGAACCGTTGATCCCGACAGTCTGTCACACAAACCCTCACCCTGCGAACTACGTGTTCCGTCCCGCCCTTCGACTTCGTTCCGATGTTGGTTTCTCTCTACTTCCCCGGCCAATCGGGAGCCGACCAGCCTGATGTCCCAAGGACTCGTCGGTCACGACGGGCTCCTCTTGGGAAGAAGGGCCTGGCGCATTATTGTCGGACGGTGGTATTCCACAGAAGCTAACCTGCATATCCACCGCCTGTCCACTCTGCCACAACGGGGAAGCTTTCTCCCCCCCCAATCAGCAGCGGGTCATCTCTTCAGTTCTTTGAATAACAAATCTTGTCCATTCCACGGAATGCAAGGGAACTTATTGTCGAACAAGGCCGATACACAAGGGTGTGGACTCCTCGTCGACGGGCGGCCACATGGCACGGGAGAGTGAATTATCAGGTCGATAGACCCGGAATGATGAATGGACTTGACGTCGGGGCCACTTAGTTGTCTATAAATATGCTCAACAGCCTGCTAGCAGGTCGACTTAAAAATGATCACTTCCCAGTGAGAGCTTATCTTGCGTTCAACCTACCCCTCTCCTCTTCGAAGCTTAATCTGAGCCTTACGGACGTCTTCTTCTTTCACTTGTGTTCAGGCGGCGACCATACAACATACATACTAGTAACACACAATGGACCGAAGTGCCACCAGCGGAAACAATGGCTCTGGCCGTGCCACTAATGGCACACATTCTGATTTACCGGACCTGGCTACATACCAAGCCCAATGGGCCAAAATCCATGATGATACTGTGCGCCAAATCAACGAAGCTTTAGGTATGTACTGCCCATTATTGCTTTCTTTTGTGCATCTTTTGACTCCCTAGAATCTCTAGAACAAGAGAAGAAACGCATAACCAACCGACCAAAGCAATCTCCTTCAAGCTAGCGATGACTGATGAGCTTCCGGAGAAATGGCGATGTCGGGTGTTTATCGGAACTCTGTTATTTCTGGACTCTTTCTCCTTGTTCGGCATCTGCTTGCTTTTTCTTCACTTCGTGTTGATCTCCCTTTAAATTTGACTTTCCCAAATTTCCGCATATTGACGTTTATTGGCCTCGATTTTTTGTTTGCATTTCCCTTGCCATGAAGCGGATCAGCGTTGCTCCATTATATACCATCTAGCAGTCTGGATATTTCAAAAAGTGATATCTTTCCTTTATTTGAAACCATTAAAGATTATCTGAGCTCTTTACCATCTCTTTCTTTTCGATTTATGACGACTTCTCTATCCTCCAACTGCCCCTGTAACGGATAAACGCCCTGTGATGTGCTAAATCCATAGCGTGGGGTGACACTGTCCATGCGCCCTAAAGTTAGATTAATCCCTGACGTCACAGCTGCCGGTGTACCCTTTGTTGCCTAATCATACGAAGAGCTCAGCTGGTGTTCGACCATAGAAGAACCAGAGTGATATGTAGGATGACGTTCTTACCTCTCCTACCCACCTATCCAGGGAGGAAGGAAGAGGAGGAAGAGGAACAAGAGCACCGCCACGAAGTTCGAAATGGAACTAGTTCCTATCGCTGACGGGACCTACCAACGTCAGCACGCCACACCACTAGATCTATCGTATTAGAACCATCCCGACCGCCAAGACAAGTTACTCTTCAGTATATAAACAGAAACAAAATCAATAAACCGTCCCACCAAGCAAAAGAGCCCAGTTCCGTTGGGGGGCCAGACTCATTTCCTAGCTAGACCTCAATTACGAGTCCTGCCACATCCCAATACTACTAGTAGAAATTGAAGCACTGGTGGCTCCACCGGGTGTCTCCGATCTGATGCGGCCAAAAGTACCATTGCATTGCCGTTCGCCGCGGAGACTTCCGAACCCTCCGTTACAAAAGATGGGTCCACGCCGATCCCTTTTCCCCCCTGTATGTAGGCCCTCGAGCAAAAGTACCATGCCTTCTTGCCAGAAAGTACCGCGACCAGTAACTGGTTTGGGAGGTTGGCTGCTTGGCTCCATCTATTTCATGCATCATGTCCTTTTGCCCTTTTCGTTTTTTTCTTCGCTCATATGACTGATGATGTAATTTGTATGTGCGCGAGGGTTTATCTGGTGACTGCAGCCCGACTCACTTAGCCGCCTTCGTTTCACCAGTATCAATTGAGAAATTTCTTTGATTGTTGGACAATCTTTTCGCCGAGGCAGTTGCTGACACATAGGGCAGATGCAGACCAGATTGTTGGCAAATGACTGGACAGTTTGGCCTGCGAGCTCAGCTGCGTCGCGTTCGGCGCGTGGACTATTCCCGGTTTGGGCTGCTAGCTGGGGTTTCGGGGAGAGGTGGATTTTGGCGACTGTCGCGGTTGTAGATCTATTCTTTAGTTGCCTGGAGTGAGTCATTTATGAGATGCACACGTACTAACCGAAAAAGCTGCTCGCCTATCATAGAAGTTTGTCGGGGATAGCTCGCAGCTCTTCAGGTTTTCGTTCATGTGCGGTAATGGCACATGCTTGATTACTGGGTCAGAGAAGGCTATTGCTCTCGTGGCTCAGGTCGAGGAAGAGGGACAATGTACAGCTGTTTATGCGCTCGAAGAACCAAGGGATGTGCTTCCAATCCTGTCAGAGCTGAATCTGATACTTGGCTATGCTCGTTGTCGTCGTTGGGGCTAGCTGAATCGAGAAAGTCACGTTCTCGGTCTGCAGCCTCGAGTTGTGCCCCGGCGGTGTTGGTGTCACCTTTGTCCTCCCGACATTCTTCACCTTACCCTGACGTTCCATCCTTGCCTTGGAATCATTTCAATCATGGGGAATCAATCATCTGATTATTATCTCTAATTGCTTGCCTGCATTGACTGACAACCGCTCTATACCCTTGTCCTTCCACCGAGACGGGGTACGATGGCACTGAATATTTTGAAGGCTCTAAGCGCTACTCTTCACATATCATTCGTGCACTGACCTCACCCCTCTTCAAGAAGATCTCGGACATAACCTCCCATTATTGTTCCACGAATACGGCAAAGGATCCGTGACTTGAACTTCCCAGTCCTCCGACCCCACCGCCGTAAGAGCAAAGAACAACCCGGTCGGGTCGTACTTCTGCTTCAACTCATACAGCCGCGGGTAGTTGGCACCATAGAATGCCTGCTGGAAGTTGGGCTCCAACAAATCACCCTCATTCATATACGCGCCAGAGTCGGGAGAGATCTCCCGCAGAGCATCCATCCAGTTCGTCACAAAGAGTGAAGAATTTTTGACTGTTTCCCAGCTCGAAGTGAACTCCCATTCGGTTGCGACAATGACGTGAGAAAGAGCGTCACGCCATGCCGGCAGAACTGCAATGTTCGTCGGCGGCTCGACAGCGCTTCCTTTTCCACTGATGTGGAAGCCCATGATGAATAAGCCCTACTAAGGTCAGTAACTAGTACGAATACGATTTGAACGGTCAGCATACCTTCTCAACAGCGTCCCTTTGGGCAAGGAAGTTTTTGTTCCGGAGGTCCTCGTTTTCGAAGACATTTCGAGGCAGAAGACGTGAAGCCAACTTGTATATGTCTAATCCACCTGTTTCCAGAGGAAAGTTATCCTCCTCCCAGACTTCATAGAAGCTATCCGCATGGCTGTAAACGGGAGTGAAGCTGACGTTAAGGGTATTGAGGGTATTAAACCAAGGTCTGAGAAGGTTCTGCGTCTGTGGAATGGTCATGTTGGGTGCAACAAATGAGACCATGCGGAAGTTGTAGTCAGTGTCATTGGAAGAAGCTTCACCGTTCTCAGCTGCCGAGGACCCCAGCAAATAGTATCCATATGTTCCAGCGTTGACAAAGTCCTCAAAGTGGTCTAGGTAAGACTGGAAAGCGGCCCAAAACGCTTCAGCATTTGGAGTGTCGTTCATCGTCCAGTTGAAAGTAACGATTGTCGTGGGCAATTTCGAATACGCCTTGATGGTCATGGATGTTACCACGCCAATTGTGCTGCCTCCACCACCGAGAAGCATCCAGAAGACGTCTGAGTTCTGCTTGGGAGTTGCAGTGATAAAGCGACCGTCCGCCAAGACAACTGTAAGTTGATCAGTGAGCTGTCACCGATGATGATATGTTGAGTCACAGGGGGAAAACAACCTTCCAGAGCCAAAACTTGATCTGCCGCCATACCATACATGCTGCTCAATGGTGAGTGGCCTCCACCAAGTGTGAAGCCACCAGCAACTCCAACAGAGAGGCAGCCGCCTCCGATGACGGTCACATTCAACGCTTTTCCGAAGTCGTACGCCTCCGAAACTTGAACGCCAGCCCCAAGCTTTATAGCAGGTCCAACATAACCACCGTCAGACGTGAAGGATGGGTAGAACGCCTTGTCTTTGAGTCGGTGCGTCCAAATTGACAGACCTCCTTTTCCTGATGGCTTGCCGTTAAAATCGTGACCGGTGTTCTTGACAATCAAACGAAGGTTCTGGTTCCGAGCAAAGTTTACAGCCAACTGAATCTGAGCAACAGTGGATACGTTGACGACGTACGTAGGGTAAGCGCCTTGCGTACAGGTGCTGGTGTAGTTATACCCTATGGGCATGCACGAACGACCCTCATCCAAGGGTGCCATGATGGAGCTAGGATCATCGTAGCTGAATACTTCTCAGCTCGAAGTTACTTTGACGCGGAAATATGACACTGATATACTCACTGCAAAGAGTCGTCAAGCCAGTTCGATGTTACCTCAGAACATTGCTCGGCATTATATTGGGGCCAGTTGGGGTAGCAGGACGCTGCCAAAGGTGCAGGCTTAAGCAAGCTCCCACCAAGCAACTGGTCAAAAATACTCCAGGTCGATTCAGTTGGCCATGTCGCATCCCCTGGCATGACCTTGCAGTGATGCTGGGGGGTTCCGCTGCTGTTAGTCGCGTTACTTGCCCCAAAAGCAAATATTCTCGATAGGGTCGCATTATTAAGGGCGGTATCCGCTTTAGCCAATGCACTCTCAGTCAGCTGTACTGCTTCATAAGAGAACAAGGGCGGCGCAGCAGAAGGGCTCGTTGTCACAGTTGCCGCTGCTGCACTCAGCGAAGCTATAGCCCTTGTAGCCTCTGCATATGCTGCGGGTGCCACCATCGAGATGACCAATCCCCGCGTAAAATACCCCTTCATGGTTACTGACGACTCGCTATGGGAGGAAGGAAGCCACAGGCCCGCTGCGAATGCAAAATGATGGGCGGGCAGTGGCTACTCTAGCACTATAAGTATTCTGCGGCTAGCGGCTGAATGAGACGCTAATAGGTTCAGATCGTCGATCGTTACCCTCACGTTCTATTACAATAGACATTATTGATCTTGATTCTGTCACAATGTGCTTAAAAGAGTCTTTCCAATGGCTTTATGACATACGGGGCCCGCGGAGGTTGAGATCGAATACTCTTGAAGTCGTGAGGTCATCGACAGCTTCCTATGTCGTTCCCTACTCCATAACAGAGGGATTGTAATCACCAAGGATTACCCTATCTTGCGACAATAAGTTATCTTTGTTTATGTTTCACGGACGATAATTTTTCACCTAGCTGATCCTCATACTCAGCTGAACGTATCGGTGTACACCGCTTAGTCCACCGAAACATTTATGGTCGGACTCACTGGCATTGAATAACCCGGTCACTCTTGAACTAGCTTACTCGCATGAAAACAAGAACACGCATCTCACTAAGACTATACAGGATGGGTGTCCGCTCTAAGTACTGGTTTTTCAAGCAGACGCGGCAGATTGACAAAACATTGACGATATACAATCGCTAGCTGCAAGCGACTTACCCAACCTCCAGGGAACTCTGCAAGAAAAAGTAATATATTCAAAGCCAGCACCAAACCATTGTTCAAAAATGTGGGGACGGCGCCCGCGTCGCAAATCGCAATAACCTGTCGGTATGCAGCTATTGATTCCCATCGCCGCTAGTCAGCCGCGGCTGAATTAGCGCGACTGGTCACTACCGATTTGCTCTTTCGACACAATTCTGGCCCCCGGGGCTTAAGCGCTGATAGGTTAATATGACTGAGTAGCAGTTTAGTGCAGATATTGATGCATATACTATTGGGGCACTAAACGCCATACACGAGAATGAGCAGATTCAATTGGATAGGTTACTCTCATTGACTTTGCACGAAGCTGATCCTTGCAGGAACATGAAAATGGCATCGATGATATTCCTCTCCCTAAGTACATTACTCTGTTGCCTTGTGTTCTGTTGTAAGTCTACGGATGGCATTATTTCAGGTATGTGTTAGTAGCCAAAACCCTTGAGTGTGAGTGTAACAGACCAAATTATTCGCTACTTAAACTGTATAACTGACGATGTTTCAGAAAATTAAAGCTCATAAGAAGACGATATGTCAGAGCACCATTTGCCACTTGACCCGAGTTTCCTTCACCATCCCCAGAACTCCGACGGGCAGGAACTTCTGATCCACCAGTCTAAGGCCTCCCAGTTTCTCTAGCACCTCTCCGGCATATAATTGCAAGTGCCATAGCTCTTCACTGTCCAAGTTGCCAACTTGCCCCTGGGTTAGAGTCTCCCGTAAAGCTCTCTCAAGCTCCGGTGATGCATCAAGTGGTTGCATTGTCGGAACGCGCATCAGCTCGATATACATTCGTCTGAGATTGCCACTTGCAGTTTCGCGGAATCGAGAGAATTCCTCGAATGACATGAACGTATGGATTTCTCGCTCGGTCACCAAGTCGCCGTCGAGATCTGCATTGGAAACACAGGTTTCTAGCATTTTTTGCCGCCGTTGATCGCTCAAGTCTTCGAACTTCTTTTTTCGCTGAGAATAAAAAGTTTTCTCTTCCTCTAGATATTGCTTTACCCTCGCTAGCGGTGGCTCGCCCATGATACCCTCAACCAGGAGCACGGATGTGAAGGGATTGCGTAGGCCAAGTCCGCCTAGTTCTTCGGGGAAGAAAAAGAAAGCATCCGGAATCTCAAATTCACCAAGCCGTCCTGTGATAATTGCCCGCAGATGTTCCGGAATACTTGTTGATGCCGAGTCATTCAGAATCCTATCTTGGATCTTCTTGTACGTGGTCAAAATGGCACGTACATGTGGCTCCCCAAAGCAGTAGGCAGGCTGACCGAAGGTATTCTTGAAGAACCTTCCGATGCAGCTGTTCCATGTGCGGACCCAGGATATTACACTATCGCAACGATCCAGTTGCTGTTTGAGTTGCTGAACGTGCGTATCGACAAGGGTCTCGTCAATCACCCACGTCTCGGTGTCTGCATCCAGTTTCAGAAATCCAAATGTGACTGAACCTTCCGGGAGCTGGGCAGCGATTCTGGGATCTCTGTACTCAGCCAGATAAGCCGACCCAGTTTTGCTGTAATTAAACTCTAGCCCTGTGGCTTTGGCAAAATTACCCATCACTTCCCATGCTCGTACACACTTGGCTGGCTCGCCGCACAACCACAAGTCATCATGCAGGCGGTACAAGAGCAAGCCCGTTTCGCGATTTACTGCCAAATCCATGAAAAAGAGGATCATTTCTCCAAGCAGTTTCTCAGCGGCATGCGAGAATGGAATCCCCCGCTTCCTGACGCGGGGTCCAACTGGCTCACGTCCCTCATAGGAGCTGTCCATGTTTAGGGGTGCTTCCAGATAACGATGATAGAAGTCAATCCACCTCTTTGGGAACCCAATATACTTCATGATAATGACAATTGTACTGTGCGGCAGACAAGTGGCGTACCATCTCATGTCGGATTGAACCACTACCGCTGCACCGTGCAAGTGTCGACGGACAAGCGCCTCCGTGGCAATCTTTCGTAGCAGCTGCTGTCGGAGATTCTTTCCCTCGTGCCTTGTTGGATTTGTCCCAGCATCCTCATTGTCGTCATCATATGAATTGCCCTTCTCACTTAATGTTCTCTCTGATTTTGGAAGCTGCGACAAGAAGTAAGTTTTCAGGTACTCTGTGAATCGCAACTGCTCAGCAGTTGAATATACTTCGCCATTACCCATGTAGTATTTCCGTCGAAGGCGATCGCGTGCTGTCATCTGTCGCTCGGGTTTCCTGTTCCACACCGAGTCTTGTTGGACAAAGCTTGATAATAGACGCTTCAGAATGTTACAATGTCGCGTGCCGATATACTGCAGGAAAATCAACTGCAGGAGATCCTCGTCCATCCAAATGCGATACTTCCCATTTGCCTGCTGCCGGGGGACCACAGGAATACCGTTTTCGCCAGCATGCCAGGCCCAGTTTTCGATATCACTGTATCGCATATTCAACACATCGGCAATCTCAGTCAGAGCGACCGGTGTCTTCAGGAACGAATTCATAATCTCCCGCTTCTCCTCACTGAGAAGTTCTTCATTCAAGAGTCCACGCACACAATACTCCACAGATCGCGCGGTAAAAGGCTCTTGTTCTTCCCAGAATGATGTGGTCTCGCCCTTGAGCTGCCTGCGAAGATTGACCAAGGCATTCACACTCTCCTCATCCGGGAAAAGGTCATCAAGGAAGGCCCGTATCTGCCATTCGTTTGTCTCCAACGGCTCGAAAACGGACGCGTCGAATTGATCACACAGTTGCTGCAGACGCTGCTTCTGTCGCTCATCCACTACCATGTAGTCGTCGTCGACCGCCATCTCGCTCTCATCCTGGGCCGCTGCAACAGGCGGGTCCACCCACTCCGTCAGCAGCCGTGAGTACAGGTCAGCCAGGCCTAGCTTTCGACTTTGGATGTTGAGTTTCCTGAGAAGTTGAGCCTCAAATTCCTGCAATTTTTCTGGCGGGATTGACGAGTCGTAAATTGATTGATGCAGCCACCGCTCAATGTTAACCATCGTAGGATCGCTAGACGCCGACGGACAGAGCTCTCTTGCTCCCTTGAGCAGGTGCTCGAGTCGCTGACGAGTGTCCTGAGTGGCACGGGCTGCCTCTAGAATGGCAGCCTTGTCAGCCTCATAGCTTTTGCGTCGCTTCTCGAGCTCACGGATTTTGCTCTCAGTGAGGGACCGCAGGGTTTGCGAAAGGGCGGATACTGCAGGGGCCATTATAGAGCTGCACGATTCTCGACTCAAATTTCGTCAATTAACGAGAGACTGGTGTGTGTTGTCTCAAGCCCAGACCATATAGTTGATGGTTTTATACTTCCCCAGCTGGCAGCTTGGCAGCACTTCTGCCTGCGCAGCTGCCTGGCGATCGGCATGCATCCACATTCCACCAATGAGGCTCTACAACCATCTACAAAGCATCAGCAAGGGATAGATATGGACATGCCAGGGTCTCTTTGAACCCTCCCTCGACCCTTCATTCATGATCCAACCATGTCTGCGACCACTACCAAAGAATGCAACAAACCGCGAAACCATCCCCATGAAACCTTCATACTATGTACAGGGATACCAACACCCTTAACCCGCCCCTTCTCAATGGATTAATTCTCAAAACTAAACCTCCCCAACCCATCCACCCACTCCTGATGTCCCAAAAGCATCGGGTTCGGCTTCTTCTCCGCCAACCCAGCAGCCGGCTTTCCTGCCTGCACTTCCTGCGTTAGAATCCTCACCACTCCCCACTTCATATCCTCCACAATCCACGCATGATACACCTCCAGCGCTGTCTCCTCGTCTCCTTCCTGCCATGCGCGCCAGGCTAACCGGCCCGGTGACGTTGCTGTGGGCGCCACGCATTCGCAGATCTCTGCTTGGAGAGGCGGGAATCCGAACGTCGCGAAACTGAACCTGTCGCCGGGGTTTTGGAACGTTCCGTCGTTGGTTGGGGGTGGTGTTACTTGGTCCACGTTGCTGTAGTAGGATGTCCAGCGGGAGGGAGTGATCAGGTTCGGCCATACCCGGGAGGCGGTTAACTTGGGGACGTAGATCTCGTTGGATACGAAGTTTTCGGTCGTGCCGGGGAGGAAGCGGTGGGGGAAGTGGATTGTGGACATTCTGGTTGATTGAGGAGGTGGTTGGGTGAATGTTTTGTGGTGGAGTAGGACGATGAGGTTGTTGACGGTAGGGTGAGAATGGGTGTCCACGATGTGTGCTGTGGTTTAAATGGGATAGATTGGGTTGTACAGATCGAAGAGAGGAAACCAAAGGTCGGGATAGAATAATGGGATGGATGAAGATCTTATATCATGTTTGAGAGGGGATATTACATCATATGCCCCACGGTGCTAATGGGTGGATCCGGATGGCTAGCCGAGCTTGACATAACCTTATACTATTTGGGGATAAGTTCACTATGATTCAATCAAATCAACCCGCAGACGATCCACTACGTCGCCGAAATCATGCTGAGGCTTGCTCGGACAGTTTAGTCAAGTTAATCTTGCCCCTGACCCTAACTGAAGCCACGAACACATAAGCTTCAGGGCTATGGGAATAAACATTGAAGACGCTGGGTAAAAGGAACCGCATACGCCCCGTTTGAGCCAGCGGCGAAAATACTAGTACGCAAATAGAAGGAACAATTATGTTAGAAGCATGACAATAAACACACGAAGAGGATAGGTGATTCTCAGGTAGCTGGCAGAGGCTAGCTCTGGCTAGCTGGTCAGCTGCACCACTCATTTATATCTACGTTTTTTATGACTACCCTTTGCTTTACTTTTGCTTTTGTTGTATGTTTGGTTGTGTTTACAGCTGCGGCGACAGCTTCCCTACGCCTTGGCATGCGTAACTTTGTGATTACTGCGAGAAATGTGACATTGAGACGTTCTAGACCATTTTCTTTGTTTTAAAGGTGAAGCACCTGCATAGCTAGCATCTAAATAGTGGGCTCGATCGGGGTTTAGAATATCAATTGAATTGAAACGACTATCCGAGCTTGACATAATCTCATGGTTACTATTTCATGATTGTGTCTTTTGGCTACCTAATGACCTCTGCTTGCTTCTAATCATGACCTGAGATGAAATGTACAAAGGATCTCGCTACCTCTGGCTTTCTCTTTGTGTCAGCGGATTTCTCGTCCAGGCTTGAAGTACCAGTGATGGGTCACTCACATTTGTATCCCCTCTCAGGATCATCGGAGCTGGTCATTATTGTCGGGGAAAAAAAATCACTTTAGACAGCAGGCACCGGAGAGCCACTCGTGCTAGCATTAGAAGTGGATGAAGAAGTGGGGGCAACGTCATTGCCATCACCACTCTCGGCATGTGCGTCCTCGTCAAAGTGTCCAGAGTATAAGGAGCCACAATCAGAAAAATTGCACTCATTCATAGGAAAACATTCACATGCAGCCACACACGGCTGGCTGCCCATGACCCTACGACCCCAGCAGGTTGTGCCGTGGTGTCCGCAGAAGTAGGTGTAGGTTTCGGAAGAACAGTTCAGGATATACTGAAGTGAACGCTCGGGGTTCTCGCTCGTTCTCTCTTGCTTGGAAGAGCCAGTGGGTGCTGCGGGATACCAGAGGTGCAACCAACAGTAGAGTGTTGATGATGATGGAGGTAGGCTACAGTGGAATGAATGCTTTGTTAGCTTGATTCTTATGTTCTTATTCATAGGGGTATGAGTAAGGAGCTGTCTGTGGATATAGGGGTTCTTTAGAAATTTACCTTCATGATGGGCAGATGTTAATATTTAATTTGAGGAAGTCGTTGTAGGACGAAGTTGATCTTTGTAAGTGTGTTGTTTTGTACTAATTGAGGGTCAACGATGGAGTGGTATTTATATCTCTTCGTACTTGCTTACTCAGTCGATGTAGAGAAGGAGCAAACTCTCCTCATAACTTCCCTTCTTTTCTCTTCCATGTGGCATGTCACAAAAACCCCTTCAGAGCTGGCTGAACTAGCATGCAAGTCGACACCGAGCGATGTTACGTTGGAGTCGAACTTGCCAGGATTCGACCGCCATTGAGTAGATTGAACCCCGCAGCCGTATCTAGAAACATGTGTGTCTGTGGTTCTTAATCACGACCTAAACAAAATGCCTCAATCCTTGGGAGTCCCTGGTAGTCATGTATTTATGTTGGTAAAACGACTAGACATGGGTACCACCAAGTTACAGCCCAAGAATTAGCTCAATGCCCATACTTTAAGGCTGCAAGTGGAAGACTCAGACTTGCAGAGTGAGACATACCAGCCCATAGATGTCAGACACAATCTCTGGAAAAGGAAAAAAGTCTCTAGGACTGAACGCTAATTGATATGAGAGAGTGCACGTGTTCTCGGTGAATCAGAAGGTGATAGTGATAATGTCGCATATTATCGGAGCCAGCGTATTTAATCGGAGGCCATGGCTTAAAGAATAAAGCAAAGAAATGCTTGGGTAATGCTTAGGCTGCAAGGCTGGAGACTAGCGGAGTGAGATTTAAGTGCGGATGTTGAGTTCGCTAGGATTCAGTACCCCGACCAGTTATACGTAAACCGACGAATTGCTCTTTTTCTACAAGGGGTAAGGCTTTATACTCAGGGGTTGTTGAATGAAGCTTAATGATAATTTGCTGCTATTGTAGTGCTATTCAACTGGTTAGGTTTGACATCACTTTTCAACCCATGTCCAAAAAGAACCATCTCATAGGCCAAGTCAAGCATAGTGGAACTAGCTACTGCACAACCTACTGCTACTAGCTTGGGCTCTGTCTCACCAGACAATGAATCAGAACCGAGGATTCTCCTTCTTTCGCTCCTCTTCCACAAATGCCTCGAAAGCCGCAATTGCCTCCGGCGGAACGTACACGTCCTTCCACAATTCCCCCTTCATCCGCATCACCACTTCGTGCATCATCTCCTGAGTCAGATCGCTTGAACAGACCACCGTAATTTCATACTTGGTAGCGCTGATATTTTAAATTTCGTACGCCTTGTCTTTCACATGGCCCGCAATAGCCACAAAAACATCTTCGATCGGGGGTGGAAAGTCGGTGCATGTAATGCGAAATCCGTCGCCAGGTTTCAGATTGATCCACGTGGCTTTGATGAATGGAGGCCCGCAAATCACAAAGTTCTTGTCGGTAATCTCTTCGATGACACCAGTATTGGGATTTTGGAACTTTCCATCCACGATGGGGACCCCGTGGATAGGATGCCAGTATGAGATGTATTTCATCTTCCAACTCTGGAAAATCCAGATAGGCTTGAGCTTTGCTTGAGATACCTTGAAAGAAAGAAAGAAAGTAGAATGGTTCTTTAAGATATGACTCTTAGAAGGGAGAAAGAAGGATGGCCTTCTATAAGACTTTTCGATCTTATTGATCACTGGCAGGTATCCAGCCTGACATAGACTTTGGTCTAATATGAAACGCCTGTCAAACTAGGAGGAAGTTGGGATCACATGTCCACGACCAAGCGCTCATCCAGAGGCAGCCATTTTAGTCAAGCTCCAATCCCTGCTAAATGTCTCATTTCCCCTCTTTTGTTTCTTCTAACTCAACGAAAAATGCCGCAAGTCCCTGCCTAGATGTCATATATAGATGTAACGTTGGTTTCTCAAATCAGGTCAGACTTGCATTAGCGCAGAGGATAAGCTTTGGAGTCAAGGCTCATTGCTGTCAGAACATGGAGGACTATTTCTCTACTGTATTAGTCTCCACGCACTCTGATTCATATGCCTACAGACTGAATATGATCTTGCACCAAAACACCGCCTAGAGATACCAACAAACCCCTACCAAAGCCAAGGCTACCACCCAAAGTGATGCTCGAGCGAGAAGATCTAACAAAGGGTTGTAAACCTAATCTGATACTAGAGTAGCCACACAGTTGATGCTACTCTTTTCTCCATCTGAAGTTAGAGACCGGATCCACCGCTTACCAATATCCTCGGTTTATAAACTGGACCACTCACTACAAGTGGCAGTATTTCCAAGAAATTAGTCTAAATTCTCCAAGCTTCCCCATATGCACTTCGCCCGGTAGCTATTCTGGCCGGTATAGCTAAATTCTCAGAGCAGGCGATGTGGCAAGACTGGGTGCGGACCATCCTTCCGCTTACGGCTTAGTCTCCATCCGTCGCACTAACCTTAAATTTCTCTTAGCGGACACTAAGCCCTGTTCGATCAGACTAGTCCGATCAAAGTTAGCCGGCAGATCAGGGTCTGCTGTACGTAGCACGGTTGTCCCTGCGTCGGTGGCATCCATCACTCATACCTCATGGCGTCAGACAATGAGTATCAATTGTAGTGGGATAATTCCAATATACAGCCTGAGTATAACACAACAATATGGAAACAATTCATGTGACAACGAACAATGACCGACAGACCCAAACAACAACTGCGCATTACGGTAGTAGATCACATATACCCCACATCATCTGCGAAATCTTTCAACAGAACTCAGATAAACATCCAAAGACAATCATCAAGGACGACGGCTACATTATTAAGCCGAATTAATCATCAAGGCCACGTTCTGGAAGATGCTGCGTGCAAAAACACCGTCTAAATCCAGCTTAGCCTCCGCTCGGAACAAGCGTGGGCGGAATCTAAACCCGTTTAGGATGATTTTGTAGAACTGCCCCGTTTGTTCATCAGCTTGGCTCTGCTCAATTCCATGACCAGAACACCCAGGACAAAAGGTATATAAACATAGACAGACATGGCATTCTCATATTGATCATCAAAGCAACACTTTTTCCATCCTCCACTTGAGATCACCAAGACATCAACGTCTCTACCTTGATCACTTCCCTCTATTTCCCATCACCTTCTCACATCACACACAATGGCACCTCAACTCGCCTGGCTGGGCCTCGGTAACATGGGCCGCGTACGCATCTCCAATCCCCAATAACTTACCTACACTCACAGCTTCTAACTTTCATAACAGGGCATGGCCAAAAACCTCGCCGCTAAAGGCTCCCTCACCACTCCCCTAATCGTCTACAACCGCAACATCACCCGCGCCCAAGAATTCCAAGCCGCAAACCCTAACACCACCATCGCCAACACCATCTCCGAAGCCGTCACCAAGTCCGACATCATCTTCACCTGCGTCGGCGACGACGCCGCCATCCAATCCATCATCGACGCCAGCATCGCCAGCGGCTCCCCCCTCACCGACAAGCTCTTCGTCGACTGCTCCACCGTCCACCCTGACACCACCACCTCCATCTCCGAAAAGCTCCAGGCCAAGGGTGCCCACTTCGTCGCCAGTCCCGTCTTCGGTGCCCCGCCCATGGCCGCCGCCGGCCAGGTCATCCCCGTGCTGGCGGGTCCCCGCGCCGCCGTCGAGCAGGTCAAGCCCTACACAACGGGGGTTATTGCCAAGGCGGTTGTGGATTTCACTGATCAGCCCCCTGCTAAGGCGTCACAGTTGAAGATTCTCGGTAATACCTTTGTGTTGGGTATGGTCGAGAGTATTGCTGAGGGATTGGTGGTTGCGGATAAGTGTGGTCTGGGCACGGATGCGGTGCATCAGTTCTTTGAGGCTGTGTTCCCCGGTCCCTACGTTGCTTATTCGGCTAGAATGAGGTCGGGTGATTATCATGAGCGGAAGGAGCCGTTGTTTGCGGTTGATCTGGCTAGGAAGGATGCTCGTCATGCGATGGATTTGGCGGGTAAGGTGGGCGCCAGGATGAAGGGGGTTGAGTTGGCGGATGATTACATGGCGAAGGTGAAGGAGCATATGGGTGAGAGGGGTGATGTGGCGGGTATGTATGGCGCTGTGCGCCAGGAGGCGGGATTGGAGTTTGAGAATAAGCAGTGAGTTGTTGTTGAGGCACACTGTAGTCAGGCACACTTCCTATCTACCTACCAACCATCATATTGAGATAGAGATAATTAATATACATATGCTTGATCAATCCTGTCCTCTATCTTAAGGGCCAATGCGGTCTGACAAGCTAGCTAAAATGAGCAAGTCGCATTATCAAACCAGGAGCAGTGGAAGTGTCCATGGAGATAGGGAGAATGACCTTTTCCATGACTATAGAGGGAGATGACGCACAAAAGCGACTTTGCAACTTTGTTGCTGTTTCCGGAAGGACTTATAAAGTGGGGGCTTCGTAACACTTAGTTAGACCATTTCCAGTTAATTGATCGGAATATTTAAAATAAAACATCAAAAATAAAAAAACATACAACAGAAGGGATTCGCTGGTGGTCACCCACCCAACTACTAACCTCCCGGCGTGTGGCTTAAGTACGGCTGAGCGGACGGGAAGCCCTGTTTTCCACACCCTATGGTCGTATGTACTTATTCTTTCTGTGAGATAATTCATATAGACCATATTCCTCTTAATCAAGCTGTAGAACAGCAACGGGAGTTGTTCATGGAAGCATCCCGGGAAGAAAATTTATGAACATCTGCAGAAGGATCATCTATGACATAGTATGGACAGGTACTCAAAAAAGTGTACATCACATAAATGATAATAAAGTCAGACAAATTAGTAGTAAATGTTGTGGATTCAACTAGCAAATTTCAACATAATGGATGCTATCAGGGGATATCTCTTCATTATATAAATGTCACCATCGGTCTGTATACGGATTACATCCCACACCATTCATCCACCTTATCTACCCGCATCTGCCCAACTTCCAGTAGAGCAGCCGCCTACCATGCAGTAATAGGGAATGCATCAAACAGAGTTATACTCCTATTATCAAGCTTGCTCGGAAGGAGGCCGTGAGGGCTGGAGTCAGCTCCAGCGCTTTGCTGATGAATGGGACGGTGTTGTTACCGGAGCCACTGCTATTCGTTCTCGCAACAACAAACCAACCACATGTTTCCGCCGGTCGTTGAAAAGACTATGGGGTACTATTCTCCTCCCTGTGAGCTGGAGCAAGGTATGTATGAGATCATTGATGCCTGTGACGCCCTCGACGGTCGCACTGATGGCGTGGTATCTCGCACTGATCCGTGCAAGTTGAACTTCAACCTCTCAAGTTCAATTGGCATACCTTATTTTTGCAACGCGGCCAGTGCCATCACCGGGTATGAGCCGGCCCAAAATGGTACGATTACAGCAGAAGGTGTTGCTGCTGTAGAGGACATTCTTAAAGGACTTCATGATCCGAATGGTCTTGGTGCATATCTATCCTTCCAGTACGGAACGTCTCTGGATGATGCTACTACAATTTACGATGAAACAACTAACAGTTGGACCGCCTCAACCAGTGTCAACGATTGCCTGCTTCATTGAATTCCAGGAAACATCCAATCTCGAGTGGTCTAACTTCACCTATGACACACTGCGCGAATACATATACACCGGATGGCAAATGTATGAAGAAACGCTGCAGACCACATGGCCAGACCTGACTGCTACCCTTGATGCCGGGGTCAAGATCATCCATCATCATGGAGAATCGGACTCCAGTATTCCACCCGCTCTCTCGGTCCATTACCATGAATCTGTTAGGTCTATTCTATACCCTGACCTTTCTTTCAACGAGAGCACAGCCAGACTAAATGCATGGTACAAGCTATTCTTGGTTCCTGGGGGTGCGCACTGTGCCGCCAATCCCTACCAGGGTGGCCCTTGGCCACAGACCACGCTTGGATCTCTGATCGAATGGGTGGAGCAGGGCGTCGTACCTGAGAGGCTTAATGCAACGTACACCTCGGGAAGTGATGCTGGCAGTGAAGCACAGCTCTGCGCGTGGCCCTCGCGGCCGTTATGGTCTGGTAAAGCTACCAAGTTTGATTGTGTTTACGATCAGGCTTCTATTGATACCTGGCACTATCGGTTCGACTCGTACAAGGAGCCTCTGTATTGAGTAATGTGATTGATGGTGGAGATGGGAATTGCCTTTTGATCTTTTCTTAGTGTCGGTTAGTTAGGTATTTTCAAGCGGTTGCACAAGTCCTCGATTGGCATAGCACTTTGCAATGAAGCTTGAGAAAAGGCTTTTACTTCCTAGGGATGAAGAGACCTGCAGACTTTGTATCGGCTCAATAAGTATCGAGTTACGCTTCCCAGCAAGTGTATCGCATTCTAAATATGCCTCCTTTACTATTATTAATGCTGTACAGAGGTCCATCTAGACAATATGTTAATCCACCGCAGAGTAAATAACTCGGCACCAGCTTATACGGTTGTAGGGAAATCACTTCATCTGATATACTATGAGAAATGCTCCTTAGGTACCGCAGGTACCGCATCTAATGATGCCAGGCGGATGTCGTGTATCAATGCTCTCATTCCCAATTGTCGGCCACATTTGACGAGGAAGGTGCTCTGGAAATGGAGAGGCAATTATACCGTTTGAAAACACTATAATGTGAGCCATCGGGATTAGTAATGGTCAAAGGCCGCAAGGTGGCACATACGATCAACATACCGCGATGTCTTGGTAGACGGACGACAAAGCAATGATAAATTGGGATCAGTTCTAACTGATCGATCCATTCAGCAAAGCTCATTTTCGTGTTGATATTATAAAAGATGCCGCCGGCTGGTTTGTATACGAAGCGGGAGCCCATGGGTAAAAGCCTCCTCATTCTTGATCGATCTGTCATACTAATAACATGCTGGTGATAGGCAAGTTTCCGCATCCGGAGGAAGCGAATAGTTGGAATGGTGTCACGCAGAGTGTTCAAGAGCCCACGCCAGACAGTGGATATAGCCTTATGAAACGCTGATGCAGGCCTCATACCTACTGGGACGGGGCCATTTAAGCTAACTGCGACAAGGGTCAAGACCTTCAAGGTTGGGGCGGCCGTGCGTAAGAAGAGTTGGAAGCCGGGAATAGTGAGCTCGACCCAGTGAAGATGAAGTTCCGAGAGGCGGGTGAACTGGACTTGTTGAGCCAGGTTGGTGAAGTGATCCGGGCTTACATCATGGAATTGATCCCACAGAGTAAGCCGAAGGGTGTGAAGATTTGGAGCAGCCCGGATGACAAGACAATGAAGGGACTCCGCAGTATCTTCTGGCTTTGGGGGTCCGAGACAAATATCTAGATCCACTAGCACATGAAGAATTGGTTGCAGACTTTGGTAGAGGTGTTGCGATAGAGTGAAGCAGTCAGGGGGTACCGCAAATTCGTCCTCGGTTAGGCAGGTATATAGTCTCTGAACTGCCAACGGTGGGGACACTGCGCACATGGCTTTGAGGAGACTGGTAAGTCCCTTGGTCCAGACTGGATGTCTTATGTCCACCCACATATCCCACACTACGCGCCGCATGCTCGGAGACGGGTCAGCTAAGCGCCGTGCACTGGACACCAGGAGTTGTGCGCAAGGGCCAAAAGGGAGCCTTTCCTGCAAGGCGCGCCTGCCGAGGCAAACATGAGGACTCTTTTCTTTGCATAACCGTTGGGAAGGATAGGCTCGCAGCCCTATAGTAGAGACATTTCTCATTCGGCTTAGGCATCGAGTAAGACTCCCTACTAAGCTAGCGGACTCGGCAAATGCTAGGTGATCGGTCTCGGCGGCCACGTAGATCGTATACTGCGCCTGCACTTCTTTGGCTGTCCATTCTTGACTCTCCGGAACACACAAGTGTAGGATACTTGTGAAGGCATCAAGGTCCACCCCGTAGTCTCCGAAGATTTGAGGTATGAGGCTCAATTCCTTTACCTCATTTCTGAATGATTCATTCGAGGTGAGGTCTTCAAGCTCCGCAATAGCCTCCCGGGTCAAAATAACACTAACGTACTGAAAGTAGCGTCTCGCGAAGAGGGAAGAAGAGAGTTGATAGATAATCTTGGATGTAAGTCGGAGGGCGCACCAGTCAGGGTACTCAAGGTGGCTACCAATGATACCAACAAGTTCTGGCGGAAGCTTTTCCATTTTGTCCCACTTTCAGTAATGGCTCTCCTCGAGTGGAATGTGGAGTGAAACCAGATCGAGAGGATGGCTTGATGTATAACTAGCAAGTAGTAGCTAGTGGTCTCGGATTTTCGGTGGGTCTGTCTGAATGGTTATCTCCGAATGCCCTACAGATGTAGTGATTCATGGCTCATGCACTATCTATTTAATGGGCCCTTGAGGCTTACTAGAACTATTGGGGTATTAGTGAGTGGGGTGATCTTGACGCGAAAAGTTGACTCAACTCCCGAATTCGAAGCCCGGTTTTAGATTTATCCGTAAAAGCGGCGCTTAGCTAGGCATCCAAGCTAGATAGCGACACTAGCATGATGGCCGCAGGATTCATGTCTCCTGAAAATGACTCACTCGCGCTTTGGGGTAGGCATTTGTGCTATATGACGTTGAGCACGTGCATTGTCTGCGTGGCAGAGCTTGATGTCAGTTGGGATAATGAGCCTGCATCTTGAACGATGGTCATAGTGCATGTTTCCCTGTCTCGATTATTTCCATGTCGATTATGACTGACGAAACTTCGTGGATAGAGCGGTTCAGTGTGTATACCATCCGGAAAGGACAATCACTAAGTAAACCCCGTTATTTCTCGACCAGCCATGGATTTTGCAAAGCATCTTGGGCGCTTCCGGACGGGTATTTTCTCCACCTATCGTTGGTGAAGAGTATGGCACCCCGGAAAATAAATGTTGTCTCACTATCAGCTGGATATAAATCTCAAACAATATAAGAGAGATTCCGATATACTGATGATATCCCGGGTTTTGCCTTCGCAAGTTCGGGAAAATCCCACCGAGACCAGGTAATCTAACACCAGCTTTCGCCTATAAATGGGACTCTGATTTTTCAATTCATTAGGTGAGTGATCAGCGGCTTCAAGCATCAAGCTTGGTCTTATTGCTTTTCAGTTTGACCAAGGTAATCAGAATCCCAAATTTTCGTGATTCACAATAACCGAATATAGAAAGCAGCGATTCACCTGTACTTTCCAGTCGGCCCTTTGTACTTTCTCCCCCCGACCAAAACGTTCTTCTTCCAGACCATCACCCTCAGTCTTTCACTTTGCCAAACCCTCTTCATCAACTTAACACACAATGAGCCGTTGGCACAGTTCAAGCTGCAAGCGGCCAGATGTCAGTGTGGCAAGTGGTATTCCGTGTTGCAATCATTGCTTCGCCATTGCGATCATCGAGCAGAAAACAAGACTCACAGATTTACCACTGCCACTGAGCGACTTCTCTCAGAGTTCTCTATGGCCATCATGTCTCAGTTCAAATAACACAGTTATATCAGAGGAGAGCACAGAACATGGCGACAGCGAACCTCGGACAGACTATCAAGAGACTCCATTCCCGTCACTGCCCTCCAAAGATCACATACGACTTGTCAGATTGAATGCTGGCCCTTTCGATAGAATGCTTCATGTTGACCTGGAAGTGGTGAACATCCACAGTTGTCCAGCTGAATTATTTGAAGTCTTATCATATGCCCCAGCCAACGAAAACGAAGACTCTGAGAGTCCCCACATTGTCTTCGTAGGCAAGTACTGGGACATTGTTCACGTTTCATACAATTGCCAACAGGCGCTTCGCTTTATACGGAACCAGAAGTTTAATCAACTCTTATGGGTGGACTCATTATGCATCGATCACGCTAACCTCAAGGAAAAAAATCAACAGACTTCCTTGAAGCGAAAAATCTGCCAAAAGGCGTCTAAAGTCCTTGCCTACTTGGGTGAAGAAACGTCCGACAGTGAAGAAGCTTTGGAATTTCTCAACAACAGCATCGCTATAACAGGCTCCGAAGTGAGCACTGGCCATGAGCATATAAACAAAGATACCCGGAGAGCTTTGAAATTCCTTCTAGAAAGACCATTGTTCACCAGGTTATGGTTCCTTGTTGAAGCGTTACTTGCTCGGAATCTTGAGTTACTATGCGGTGCACATTCAGCTCCATGGCCTAAAGCGCCTTTTGCGTTGGCCCATGATGACGTGCCTATACCCGACTGGCTTTTTCTGAAGGAACACTGGTACGGGCTTACCGATCGTGATCTCTTGCCCATATTAGCACAAGCCTCCTCTTACGAATGTTCCGATCCGCGGGACAAGGTATTTGCGGTGCTTAGCTTGATATCCCAGAGTGAACTTAAACCCGACTACACTGTTTCCGTTGAAAGAGTATACACCGGTCTATCTGCGTACCTTATCAAGGCTTGCAAATTCATGGATGTTCTCGAATTAGCTGGTCTAACAACAAAGACATTCGACCTCCCCTCCTGGGTCCCAGACTGGTCGCAAGCATTATCCACGACCGCTACACCCATTCCGACAAGCAATCAAAGATCCAACCGAAAACACATAAAGACCTCAGGCTCACGTCGGGTAATATTCCGATCCTACCTTGCCTTTGACTGTGAGAGCCATCTGAGCGTGGCTACGCCGATCCTGCGCACTTCTGCTATCAAGATTTGCGGGTTAAGTGGCAGTATCAAGCATGGTCCAACTCGTGTAAAGATCAGAATGACGCTTGATGAAAGAGCCACTCTATCGGTCTCCTTCCCCGATTGAGGATATAAGCAAGGACAAGAGAGCTTGTTCCTTCTCGGTGGATACAACAACCCTGTGGTTCTTAGAGAAGATTTTGTCACGGGCTCTTATCATTTCGTATCGACCTGCGCCCTTTCGCTCAGACAACCTTCTACCAATAGATGGCTGCTGCCTTGGGCTAATGAAAGGCCGAATGAGCGGTACATCGTCTCAAGACTGTCTCCTGAAGAAAATAGTCTGATTCGTGAATTCCATCTGCTTATGGAACAAACTACACAACAATCCATTACCTTAGGCGATGACGAAATTCCCATCCCCTTCGCCAGCGTCAGAGACAGGGTCTTCAGCTTTTCTCTATATCTGCAAAGCCCGTTGCCGAAGCTTGAGAAACGATTGTGGGATAAATGGGAAGATTCAAACAGAGAGTTTGGATGGATGTTCCGTGATCAACATGCAACATGGCAGTTTCTTCGACAAATCAATCATTTGAAAGTTGCCGGGGCACAAGGAGAATTTGAGATACTAGTGGACAAGTTCGATGACATCCAGACTACATTGTATTGCGGTGTGAAGTTGCCTTGGACATATTCATGGGATCTCAGTCAATTTGTCTGGTCGTTTTACGACCTTTAAATCCAGAACAAGCGGCTCAAGGACCACAATGGACTCCAATGCTGGGAAGGATGATGACGGCTCTTCCAAAGATTATAGACTGGGCAGAAACAACGGAAAAGATATTGAAGTTGTTTGAATATAGTCAAACTATATTCGGCGCCAGCTGGACATCATTTCCTGGGAATGAACTACCTCAGAAGTGGATTGATAACTACGAGAATTTCTACAAGGTTCTGGATATGGATATAAATAGCATCATAGCAGACCTGAGGACATCACTGGATTCATCCTGTCACTGGGACGTACGAGAGTTCGAACATATTGCCCGAGCTAGGTGTCGTCTATGGGATCTCAACCTACCTCCCGAACTAGAATCAGGAAGTGCTAGTAACATAGCAGTGCATGCGGGCTTCAGATCCCTAGGATTGGAGTTATACGATGAGCAAATGGTAGACATCCTCTGACAGATCCGTTGACTCTGCTCTGACATGTCTCTTCGGATTGATATCCTGCGTCCTCGTCGACTGCGTCCTAATTCCGACGAACATATACCGCAAGGTCCCCAAAATTTGAATCATAATCAGGGAAATCAAATTCGTCATAGTATTCCCGTATGCAAGTTAACACGCGTGGAGAGACAGGGTCGGTCCTAGACAAGATAAGCTCGCATATCCTGTAAACTGGAAGAAGAAGAATAAGAAAGAGAAAAGAAAATCACCAACTCACATATGATCTTCATTCTGATCCCTCACTTTGTTCCATATCAAAACAGCCGGCCGAGCTATATCAAAGACAATCTGCCGCACAGCAATATCCGGAGCAACCGAGACCACCACTGTGGACTCATCAACTTCGAGAAAGGCGTCAGGGTCTTCTACAATCTTGATTCCATTCTCCCCTGCAGCAACTATATCATTCTTCTTGCATTCTGGGTCCTGTGCAAAACATGGAATAGCATCCTGTGACACATTGTGCATTTTCAAGTTGCAATATATGTCACGGAGAGTCAAAAGTAGAGCGTGCTGAAAAGCCGATCGATCTTGTAGTTCAGGGTAGACTGTTGCGAAAGACCCGAGCGCAATCCCAACGATCTTGGTAATAGGGACAGTCTTTCGTGACATGAGCTTTACCCGGAGCTCTTGGCACTCTGTGGTGTTCTCCCAGATCTGGCGACTTTCTTGTAGGAGCTTGCTTGCGTCAGGTACTGAATGAACTGAACTATTCAGGTACAGCTTCTTGGTGTGGATATCCCGTAGATACTTGTAATGGCCAATCTCGATATGGTTGTAGGGCAGATAATCCCCTAGGTTATAATCATCGAGTACTTCTTGCAGAGATAAATATGATATGCAGGGGTTTTGGCTTCGCAAATCGAAGTCAGTGAGTTAATGCACCGTCTTAGCATGAGAAACGTATCAATAAATACACATACATAACGTACTCCATACCAGGCTCATCATGTGCTGGATAAACCTGCCCTATGAGTACTGGAAACTCAACAATTACTCCATCCAACCCCGGCACACGTATACTCTGGATAAGTCCACCGCGAGCGTCCTGTATCTGCTGTTTGAGATCTTGGAGCAACTCCTTGGTGTAGAATGGCTTTCCAGAGTCATACATCTCCTGGATATGGACGAATATTTCCTGAGGGGGCGGTAGAGGCGAAGGGTCAGCTCGGGTTGCTAGCCCGACCAAAGTGGAAACTGGGCTTGCTGCTCTTTCCATTGTATCTCTCCAAAAAAAGAAAAAAAAAAGGTGATTACTGTGCGGGGAGATTGAATATAGTGGAAGATGCAGTCGCGTAAACAGACACAAGATGGGCCAGGCCGCAAATTGTGGGGGTCAGTGCGCCAGTCAGCTGAGAGGAAAGCTAGTAGTTGTTGTACTGCGAAAGGAAGTGCCACCAGCCGCTAGTGACGATTTTATATCTTTTTATTCTCCGAGAAAGCCTTTTGAAAGGTGGGTGGCTTGTGTATAGTACGTAGCGCAGAGATTCTAGGTACTTTTATGTCCTTGTGAATGGCACGGGAACGTCCCGTTCGGAACAAGCCTGGCGGGAATCGCCGTGTTGTCGGTGCAGACTTACGAACCATGATTTGATATATAGAGATCCGTATGCATATTACAGCCAGATAAAACGGGAAGTTGAGCAATATCATGCAGAGTAATCAGGGACTGGGATTTGCTGAACAACATTGGGAGCAGGTCAGAAAGCTTTGCATGTTATGTGGTGAGCTCGTCTGCGGCCACCTGGGTCTACGAGACTTTTCCTGTTCCCATACTAGTATATAATGTATGAGATCATTTGGTATCATTTGGTGTTTAGCTATTTTCGCGAAGTAAATCGTAGTATATTGACTACTTTTACCCTCCATACCCGCTATGGTAGGGCTACAGTTATCTTCTTTATCTCATGTAGCAAATAAATGCAGCGTATTAATAAGAATTCCTCGATGGTCTAACGGTCATGATTTCCGCTTGTCAATCCCTTTCGGGAACAAGCGCGGGAGACCTGGGTTCGACTCCCAGTCGGGGAGATTTCTTTTTCTTTTTGCGTATCTTTGCCAGGTTTTTTTTATCCACCTCAGGTTGATATTGTAATTTTGGTGCACCTTTTGTTGTAATAATGATTTTTCTTGGGGGTTTCATCAAATTTGTTCATTGATGATGAGACCTAACTAAGTATGTCTACTTTATAAGTCTCCTATGATTTGCATTATGGTAGAGCGGGCGTTCTTTGTAGTACAAAACGTGTATTTTATAGGAAATTATAGCTGGTTTCGTTGAAATGATTCTTTATATGCTGACGTGAGGTATTGCTGTAGCGTATAATAGTAAGTGCCGAACTTCGTCTCTGTACCACCATCTCTAGTGAACACAGATGAAATGAGCGTGGATATAAGATATGTATCGTTAAAATTGAGGGGTCATATTGCTGAGAAATCGTCACGTCATGGCAACCTGCATTCGCCATGGTTGTAGTTATAATCAAACGCAGACAGAATACCAATTAGCTGAACAACCGTGGCAAGGACGACCAGGACATGAAATATTTGGTGAGAGCAGCCGAATATGTCAAATCTTCCAGGCTTGATTGACTCCGGTATGCGCATCTATATAACTTGTCAGTATGGTACTTAGCTTTGGGATCGGTGTACTAACGGTATAGAAAAGTGCACCTAGAATGAGGAGCACTCCTTCGCCTAGGTAATATGGCATGCCGAACTGTACCATCATTTGAGCAAAGCCATAGATGCTGATACCGTGGATCAGAGGCGCGAAGCCAGATAAACCAGTGCCGACAAAGGTGCACACACGGAAGGTGCGCCAACAGGGTCCTTGAAACTTGGGGTTCACGAGGATCATTATTGTGATGCAGCTCAGTGAGATGATCTTTTAATATCTATTAGATTTTTATGTACCAAACCGTGTGGTAGGGAACATACCATGCCCCAGTATATCCGTCGCAATAGAGGCTCGCAATAGAAGACCATGTAGATACCCGAGACAAAATCTCCCAGGGTCAGAACAATAATGCCAACAAAGTCGAGTCGTAACCACAATTCTGAGACTTGGAGGGAGTGATTCATTAATGTGTGATAGGTAGTCGACAGACCCAAACATATAACAGCAGTCAGGAGAAAGAAGGCAAAGATGGCGTGGTCGGATAACGTGGCTTCTGGGTATTTGACTTGAAGATACTGGTAGAACATGCCTTCTGATGCGAGGAAGAAGACGGCTGGAACTAGATGCGAATAAATGTTCACGGTTTCATTGTGCAGATACAACCAACTCGCGAAGCACGCATGGGTGGAATTGGAGACGGGTCGATAGCCATGTCGAATAAATTCATTGTCTTGATACCACTCGGGGATCTCGTCGTAAGAGACAAGAATGGGGGTACCGTCATCGAAGAGGACTTTCTCTGGTGTTGCTGGTTCTTCCGCAATGGCTCCCGGGGGGAGAGGAGAAGGTTTCCGCTGGCGCGGGAGTGTTTCAGTTATTGATGGACTGTCCGCGAATGTCGCTGGCATATTGCAAATTGTATCCTTTTTTAATCTTGAAGCAGAATGTACAATGGAATGAGAATGGTTGAGCCGACTGGGTGAATATTGTGCTGGGTGGATAGTTTTCTTGGAGAGAAATCGATCTGGGAAGACCCCGGCCGACTGAGGAGGAATCGGGCCTCTGTCACACCAGGCGCTGGGGGGGAACCTTAGACTTGGGGGGGTGCCTCCCAGGAGGGGCGCATGCAGGATGAGGCCCACGAGCCTATCACAGGCGGACGTGCACGGAACCGACAGGGGTCCCCGGACGAGTTAGCCGCCGAGGCTGGCGAATTGGCGATCAGATCTCCAGCCAACTTGCGCCTGTGTGCCTGTGTACAAAGTAGTCCTGTGGTGCACGGACGTGCCTGGGGTTGTTGTTCCATATAGTAGTCGTAGTATGGTACTCCGGCAATTACTGATGTCTAGCCTTGCCATCCATCCCTCTCAGCCCAGTACATCATGTCCGTTCGGTCTACGTATACACCGTTAGCATAAGGATTCATCCCCCAGTCCAAACGCGGCGCTAATCGAGAACTCTTCTGTCGACAGAGCTCCCTTAGATAACGCAGTTTCAGCTAAATTTATCAGTTCCCTCCCTGCTGGTACCAAACCACTGATTCCCACGTAACACATGAAGCCCAAACGCAGACACCCAGTCACATCTCGCATGGACGCTCCGTGCAAGAGACTCGATGCATGCCTCATTGGCCTGATCCTCAGCTGCAACATCACTATCAGGCGTGCGGAGTTGCCCCATGTTCGCTATATCAACACGCTCGAGCCGGCCTTGAGGCGGCTAGGCAAAGATCTCCAGGCCCTCTTCTCTCAATCGAACAGCAAGGTACCTCATCTCCCTCATCATCAGTCTTGATTCTGCGATAGAGTATATTGTCTCATCCATTCAGCGCTTGAATCTCACGCCTCATCTCGGAACAGTAACGTGCAAGGGGCCTCTGACCACTCAGAGGTGGCTCCGATGTCGCATAATTCGACATGCACCACGGCTTCCGTGGCTGCCACCACCCACGACATCGTTCATGGATGGGTGTATCAGCCAAACTGTCGTGGAACTATCGACATCATATGGTCAGGCTTGTTCACGATCTTTATATGCACGTACACCATGTTATGCCTTAACGTGCCTGCCCAATACGAGAAACCTTGGGATATCATTGTCGGCGGCTATTCTGGATGTTGGTAGCGATCTCTGGTCCCGAGTTCGTTCTCACATATGCCAGTGCACAATGGGGTAGAGCCAGGGATTCTGTGAGGGCTTTCAAGGCGTCCGGCTTTCCTCAGTGGACAATGCGGCACGGGTTCTTTGCTGACATGGGGGGCTTCCATCTTGTTCCTCCGGACGGTCCCCCGTTCCCGGTCACTTCAAAGCACATCCATTGGCTGGTAATCCATAATTACCTGCCTTTCCCAGAAATCACCTCGGAAGAGATCACAGACAGATCCAAGCAAGATACAGTTGCGAAGATTGTCAGCTGTATGCAGACAAGCTGGATGCTTCTTCAGTGCCTAGGTCGCGCGGCACAGGGTCTTGCCATCACCACACTGGAATTGTCGGCCCTTGCTATCGTAGTCTGTTCTGTTATGACAAGCCTCTGTTGGCTGCATAAGCCTAGTAACGTTCGGACACCAATCAGACTAGAGCTTCATGTCAGCATAGAACATATACGCAGGGAAGCCGGCGACCATGCTATGGAACCATACAAGTAGACGCCACTGGATTTCATCGATGACCTACTCCCAAGTTGGTCTTTGAATGTACAGCCCTTCATGAAGATGCCTGTCGCACCCTTCGAACGGCCACTGCCGCGCCTTGGCAACGACAGGCTTCCTGACCTGAAGGGCTATCAGGAGATAATTCTTTGTGTTGCGACCCTGTTGTATGCCTCGATCCATCTCATTGGCTGGAATTTCGGATTCCCAACGAAGGCGGAGCTCATCCTCTGGCGTGTATGCAGTATGTTTCTGTTCGGAACGGTTGCATTTTGGGTCTTCGAGACGTCAGCTGCCTGGTATCGGATAGGACGCTGGCAGCGCTTCATCTGCAGGATCTTCTGGAAATCTAAACTGGAAGACGTGGAGCAAGCGCGACTGACAAGGGAATCTGCCAAGGTCCCCAAAGTACTGCCACTGAAGGCCGAATTCTGGAGTATATTCCCCCTTGCTTGCACGTATGCTGCTGCAAGGTTATACTTGATCGTCGAGGCCTTCGTTGGGCTAAGAGCTTTGGAAGCCAGCGCTTATCGCACTGTGGATTGGACAACGTTTCTGCCTCACCTCTGAAGAAGACATACAATATGTTTTAGCTATGGATGCGTACCATTTGACTCTCCATTTTCGGCTAGTCAACGGGGTGTTCCCATTTCTTTCTTATGTTCGACTTATATTTCATCGTCTTCTCTTCAGAATGGTCTGTCTCAATGACCAGTCATGTCAGCTTAACGTGTTTTAGTTGAGATTGTGGTGACTTCCAGCCGAATGAAGCTTACAACCGCGCGACCGCAGGCGGATAGCGCAGAGGGGCTCAGACTTACCTTACCTTCCATCCTTACTAATCAGTATATTATCGTCCTACTAAACTCCAATAAACTCTCACCATCATCAGTAGCAATCGATAAGACTCAAAGACACTGAAAGACAACATTAATGACTTCGGTGGCGTCAACAAATCCCGAAGTGGCATCTCCAACTTGGGGAGATATGAGGTGTAAATTGGGTCCGACCGCAATTTAGGTCCGCGCGGCATTGCACGGCATCAGAGAAACAGAGCACGACATGTTTGACCGAGATTCGTCTCGGTTATGCAGGTGCGGCCAAGGAGGGGGGTGACCTGCATGCATGGATGGCCCGGGAACTGTCGGCCTATCGCGGTTCAGGCTGAATATCAAATTAGCCGCTGCAAGAGCGGCTTTGTTATCGTCGGCCCGAAGTTGGCTATTCCGACTACGGCGGGGTTGTGCCAGGTGGCTTGGGAGCCGAGTATTAGCAATTGCGAGTCATGATATGCACATTAGTATGATTGGCTGTATTGGGGGTTGTGAAAGGTTATGTCGTGCGACCGTGTGTGGAACGTGGTGCTGGTGGTGATCTGGGTGAGTCATTCGGGTTATCTGGGGATGGGATGGGGAACAGAAAGAAACACTACATTTGAGCAGGAAGATAGATGGTCACTGACAAAATAGATTCTGAAATCTAATCTATGGTCTTCTATACTCTAATTGGTATCCATCGCTAAGCAAAAGCAAAGCACGCTGTAACTCCAAGCCCAGACAAGTAAACAAAGGAAATAGTGACAGGCACACATTACTTCCGAACATCGTGGTCGTTGAAGCCCGCTTCAAGAACATGATTGGGGAAGATACATTGAGGTAGGAAAGAGTGAAGGAGATAGTAATAAGGATTTCACGACCAGAAGCCGGCGTCAGGTCAAGGCTCTCAACCGGATGAGAGCGCGCCAGTCTCGAACGGACTGGCGGGATGAATAGGACTGACAAGAGACTCTGACGGGCAGTCTGGGTGACGGTGAAGCACCATGGGTATGGGCGCGGGTACCCGAAATGGCGTGATTACCACAAGCAGAGATGGATATCATCGTACTATGGGTAGTAGAGGTTGGTGGCGAAACCGATAAGCAATAGTAGTGGTGGGTTTAAACCGAGAGACGAGCAGGCGAAGAGATGGACGGGCTTCAAGTGACAACGGTAACTCTAGACTGAGCTAGATGCACGTTGTTCTTGCGAGGGAAAAGCTTCTCCAAGCACTTGCGACCCTTGTCGAGCAGACTCGACTTCTCGCTGGGTTTGGGTGACACCGTCACCCGTGGGGCCGCAGCGGACTTGGAGCTGCTGCGGGACGATCGGCGCGACGGTGGCGGCGGGAGGACTTCGTGATCAAGGAGCTCCTCGTCGCCGTCATCGTCCATGGCCATGCCCATGGAGCGGATGTGGACGCGAATGTCTCGCTTGACCATAGCCATGGACTTGGCGTGGATGTGGGCATGGCTGAGGCAGCGACGAAGATCGGGTTCCTTGGCACTGCTTTCCTGGTCATATTTCTCGCCGGAGAGCAGGCTGAGACGGAGGTGCAATGAGGTTCTTTCCAACGGAGAAGGTCGTCTAGTGCGAGGGGCGGGGGAAGGTGATCTGGAAAAGCGGGAGGAGGAAGTGTAGGACATTGTATGGCCTAGCGTAGTTCTGTTGTGCCTCTCTGCTGCGTGTGCTAATGGAGGGGCAGATGCAGAGTCCCGCACCCGAAATGGGAGAGGGAAGGGCGAAAGAATCGAAAGGTCCGGAGAGAGGAAGGAGCTTTGGCTTTAGCTTGTCTGGTTGTCAAAAGAATTCTCTCCGAGCTGGTCGGGGAAGGTCTATATACATTTTGACAGGGTGGAGGATGAGCAAGCTTGATAACCGCCAGGTCATGGGACAGGAAAACCTAGTGGGCGAACGCTCTAGAACTCGGTCTGCCAAAGCCAAATCGGCGTTGCGGTGGATCGCCCGGTGGAGACCGACTGTTCCAGCCCGCAATTCAGGCCGACAAACACAGCCCAATCGCGGGTCCCTCCTGGCGAACCTGCTCTTTTCTGCTGTTCCTGAGACGCGTCTGATGATGCAGTCAACTTGGAGCCAATGGGCTGCGTGTGAACAATGCATCTGGACTCGAAACAATCATACTCACGTCAAATATTATACAATCTTGAAACAAAAAATCGAAATTGTAAAAGGGACCGCATCAGCCATTGAATCATCACGAAGGAGCGCCAATGTTCCAGAAGCCCATCCAGACAGTCCGTGCACGGGCACGTGGGACTGATAAGCTCGTCGGCTTTTTCTTTTTGTTGGCTTTTTTTCTATTTTAGATTTCTTGTGTCTGTTTTTGTTTTTGTTCGTGGTATTTTTCTATTCTCGGATACTTAGTGGAGATTTCTGTCACCGTCTCAGTTTCTCGACTCGCTTGTCACAGTCACACTCAGAGTCACATTCATCCATTCATTGATTGATTTTCATGGTTCCCTCCACTTTTCTCCCCCCCAGTCTGGATTGTCGAAGATCACTCTGGTGACACATCCAATTCGTACCACCACAGCCTCCACGACATGCTTCTGTACATAGAAACATCGTACGTACCCTGGTGGCGATCCCTCCCACCAGAGCCGGTGCTATCCGCAGATCCCATCACGTCTGTGGCAAATGCGACCGCCGGCTTATCTTGCGTGATAAGACGCTAACGTGGGCGATCCTGTTGACCAGGAACTCCCGTCATAGGGCCCTGATAATCCTTGTCTCCTGTCTATCACGATCGATTTCATAGAACGGTCGCAGACCTGTCGCGTACCCTTTGGGTTGCTTTGTGACCGACTATTAGCAATGTCAATGCTTCTGTGCTCTGCATATGCACTCCACTCTTTTACATCACATGAATGTCACCAATGAGGGATTTCCATTGAGGGTTATCGCTGCACAGATATCCTGATTAAGGGGAAATGTCATCCAATTACTAGCTACCCACCATCTGCAATAGATGCTGTCGCGGGCAGAGGTCATAGCTCCAATTTTGGGCATTCATGACTTTCTTCAAAACTATAGCTAATATTTTCATGCAAGTTTCAGGCTAACACAACCCTCATCAATTCATCTCCGTGCACCACCACCATCCTGTCTTCAATTTCTGGTTTCTACAGCGGCACACAGTTCCCATCGCGGTCATTTTGCGCGCCAACGCGCCCGGACCATGGTCGCAAAAGGGGCGAAAAGTCAGTCAGCGCAACAAAGCCAGGGCCAACCAACCGAAAGGAAAAAAAAAAAAAGGTGGTGGCTGGGAGGGAAAGAGGAGTGTCAAAGGCAATAGTGCGCGAAATTCCAAGAAATGTTTGTTTGGCATTTTCTGTTCTAGTCTTTAGCTCTCTTGCCCCTCTCTCTGTCCCTCTCTTTCTCACTCTAACTCTCTCCTATTCTTCCGCGCCCCTCCCCGGTCTAGCCAGGAGATTAAACTCTTAGGTTTTTGATCCCACAAAAATTTTTCTCAGCGAGGTACTAGTCTCACTGTCTTACCATTGGCTCGTACACTATCTCCTATCCGGTGTCCTGGAAATGCGCCACTGCTGCCGTGGATGCTTACCAGTCGGACCCCTCGGGTACGAAAACTTTATCGGACGTACATACTGGATGAGGTGTATGTTTGCCATAACCACCCACTGCACAGGCACTTCACATTCATCAACACTCAAGCTCTGGCGGTCCATTGACTGGTCTAGAATTTCCCTATGATTGCTGATAAGCTTCAGTCTGCAGCAGTGTCTAAAGAAGTTCTTGCAACGCTGATAGGCTTGCTGGCCCCACGTGCCTAGACCAACCGCCGCGGAAAGAGGTCAATCACCAAGCATACCGTCAATGAAATGGGCATGGCTTCGGGATTGACCATGTCGCACAAATGGGAGGATGACACGATCGGGGATTGACCGCCGAAATTAACGGTGTGGGCTACGACTCAGTCATATGGCGCAATATCTCCCAGGCTTCCAAGTGGATTCGCTGAAGGATTGCCGGCTAGTCTTTGATAAAGGAAGATTTTGATCATCGCAAGCCTTCTAAAGGGGCCGATAGTGAACGAGCGCATTGGATCTCGGCATCATTGCACTTGTGTGTCAGCTTACCGACATAAGTCGCCCCATTGTTGCGACGCTGCTAATGATTTCTTCCAGGAAACTAACCACAGTGGTATTCCTGCATGGATGCCGAAGTTCAATTGACTGTGGCGAGAGTGATCCATGTGACCATCTATTGACCCCCTCCAGCAGTGGAGACTTTGGTAGTGTCTCGTCATCACGGAGGATAGCAACTTCAATAGACTGGCGGGTCTTGGAGATGATCCTCCCTAATATGCATGTTCATGCTGCCATCCCTGTTTTCAACCTGCCTGGGCATCACCCAAACTTACGGATCTTTTCCGGTCGCTCACCTCGGCAATTGAATTTTGCTTGAATCCGATGATGCAACCTATCGCTTACGCAGCGTGTTGGTGAGTATAGACCTTCTGCCATCTGGCAAGCTCAACTCTTTTGTATGTAATCATGCGCGGATGGCGCCCATTTCATGGCATTTACTGATAACACATGTCCTCACAATTTGACCTGGTGATTTACGGTCGCTTATTGTCATCTAAGCACTCGTCAATGGGAATAGATTGGGCGTATTTTCAGTCTATTGAGACCCAGAGGCCACCATATTCGTGTATCGATCTGATGTGATATCCACGGTGTAGCAGGAAAAGGAATGGTGAACGACATGCGCACGAAAACAAAGTATAGCTGATAATTTGTCCTAGCCACAGATATTTTACGCAATATGATAGCTTAATTGATTGTTTTTGTTCTTTTTTTCCAAGAAGAGCAGAGTACCGTGTAGGGCAAATTCAGGGACGGCGCGACTGCGATTGTGCGTTTCGTCTAATGGTTTTACTAGGTGCAATCCCTGGTCCCGATCGGCCTATAACTAAACGGCTCGGCAGCAGCCGTCCGACAAACTAACCGTCTCTCTCTCTCTCCGTCCCCACCTCTCATCTTCCCATTCTGCATTCTTCTGGCCGGATCTATACCACGGTCGCTAAGCTATGTGGGGCCTGATCAAGGAATACTATGATGATACAACGGTGCTTAAATTCTCAGCTACAGATGGTCCATCGGCACTCTCAGAATGTTTTATCGCTCACACTGATCTACAAAATGAGATTATCTCTTGACCTTCCCTGCATTGAAGGCGAATAAAGATGACAGGCTTTGCTCTCTGAAATGAACCAGATGGGTAACCACCCACCCAGTTGGCATCAATCAAAACATCTATATGTGCTAATAGGCTACGCTCTAGTTTATCGATGGTCGCAATGCAAAGCTCGGTTGATAAAGTTACACAGCAGGGTAGTCCTACGGACGTCAGCCACGTACAAATAAATGCGAGCGGAGAAGGTTCGCAAAGTTCAACTGGAAAGACCACTAAAGGCTCCAGCTTGAAAGATCCAGCTTCCCCTGGGTTCTAAGCAAAGATGGCTACTACCTGAAGAGTGACGAGCTTCAAGAGATTGAGCCGGAGATGAATAAATCGTCGGTTGCTTCGCCGGCCTTGCCGTGTTGTTTTTTGGTTTGGCGGGGGGCAGGGGGCGGTGACTGAATAGGACTTTAGACTCTGCTTCTGCTGACCTTGGTCTGATCTGATAGAATCACGTCGAGCCTTATAGTGTTTATTGTCGGACAATAAACCTACAGATAGTCTTTGTACTGGCCCAGTCCAATCACAACACCTGGCCAGATCATGCAGTGTTCGCATCGCTGCGGGCATCGCCCACACCTTCCCGACCGAGCACCCCCTTCTACCTACCTTCTCCGTCTTCCTTGTTCTCCCGTTTGCTCTCGATAAAATCTTCTCAGCAAGAATCAACCAAAAATCACCTAAATAAAACAACAGGCGAATCTGCTGCTTCTCTTGCTTTTGCATTAACATAGACCAACACCCCAGTACGAGATGACCATAGCAATAGCTTAGCTGCTTCGTCACGCTGCTTCATCAGCTGCCAATTATCAGCCAATAAGAGGCTTATGCTGGGAGTTAAGCTACAATGATCTCCTTTGCATATTCTGCCGTCCTTCTTAGGAGGCCGACAACGAAGCATTGTGCGATCCTCTTCTTCTGGTCTCTGACAACACCTTGGTCGGTCCTCAGACCAATGGGCGATTTCTGATGTTCATAACAACAAGCTCCATTGAAAGCATGATCAGTATTACAATATGGTGCTGTGGCCCTTGGGGTCCCATGTGTGGCCCCTCAACAATCTTCGCTCAAGGTGTTGACCATGGCTGTCCCCTCGGATAACGATGCTTCCTCAATACGTCCCCTGTCCGCACATCACATAGCTGAACCGAATAATGTAGAAACAGAGAAACACTCGGCTGCTCAGGATTCTGCTTTTCCATCCTCTCCTGCACCCGATGGAGGCATCGTTGCTTGGGTACAAGTAGCTGGCGCTTTCTTCCTTTTCTTCAACTCCTGGTCGGTCTGCTGGATCTTCCCTGTGCAGTCCCGTTAACTGACCCCGAGGACTATAGGGGCATAATCAATACATTTGGCGTTTATCAGAGCTACTATGAAACCAGGCTGCTCAAAAATTACTCCCCATCCTCTATAGCGTGGATCGGAACAGTTCAAAGTTTCCTCTTACTTTCACTGGGACTTGTAGTTGGTCCGATCTTTGATCGAGGATATATCAAGACCTTGCTAATAACAGGCACGTTTCTGGTCGTGTTTGGACTGATGATGACCTCGGTATCCAAAGAGTACTACCAATTCTTTCTGGCTCATGGCGTCACCGTGGGCATTGGTTCTGGCCTTCTCTTCATCCCTAGCCTTGCCATACCCGTCACATACTTTACCTCCCGACGAGCGTTGGCCGTTGGATTTGCTGCGTCAGGAGGCAGCGTCGGTAAGTCCAGTCTTAACGATTTCATCGAATTATACTTACTTGAAATTCACATGCTAGGCGCTGTAATTTTTCCCATCGTGTTTCACAAACTAATCGACCGCGTCGGATTCGGCTGGACCACCCGTATAATTGCTTTCATTGCTTTAGCCGGCCTCCTCTTCTCCATAGCGGTGATGAAATCACGCCTCCCTCCTCTTGAAAAGACTCGGCGGCTCCTTGATCTCACGGCCTTTCGTGAAGTTCCTTTCGTTATCTACTGCCTCGCGCTTTTCTTCGACCTTGTGGGCCTCTACTTCCCCTACTTCTATCTCCCGACCTATTTCACCATTTATCTCCACGCAGGTGATAACATATCCTTCTACATCCTATCCATTCTCAGCGCCTCTTCTTTTTTCGGTCGGATTGCACCCAACATGCTCGCCGATCGTCTGGGACCGCTGAATGTCATGATTCTCGTGAGTCTGATCGTCACTATCCTCGCATTCGCATGGATGGGCATACACAGTAACGCTGGCGCCATCGTCTTTGCTGTTTTCTATGGCTTCCCATCCGGAACGATTGTCGCCCTAGTATCTCCGGTTCTGGCGGGATTGTGTCCGGACTTGGCTATCATGGGGACGTGGTTGGGCATGGCTTCTGTGTTTGGGGGGCTTGGCATTCTCATTGGCAATCCTATTGCCGGGGCGTTGTTGGATCTGGAACATGCTGTTTTCTGGAAGGGGCAGCTGTTTGCGGCTGTTACGGTAGGAGCTGGGATGGTATTGTTTGTGGCGTTGAGGTTGTGGCAGTGGAAGGACGGAGCAGGGTGGAAGGTCTGACCGGGGCCCAGTGAGTGTTTCATTAGTGATTCAATTGAGAGCGATGGATAACACAACTAGATACGGAGTGCGAGATTGCTTCTATTATATACTATGTACATGCATGTGAACTCAAAGCCACTGGCATCAATGAAAAAGACGGAAATTGGTATTATATAACATCAGAAAACTGAAACTAACCAACCCACATAGAGGTGATACGATGAGCTTGCTAGTCAGGTGGCTGGTTGAACCAGAAGTAACTATAGACCGAGCGACACCAGGTGTATCTACTTTCTGTTCTAGAAAAACAACCCCAAATCAGTTCAGAAAAATTCTCTCTGGTCTCTCGCATCCTCATTCTCACCCCACATCAACTCCCACCCCCTTGCCAACACTTCCTTTGCACCGGTGCGCCCCAACCGGGCCGCATCCCACATAACATACCCCCACATGTGGAATTTATCAGGTATATAGCTTCCTAACATATTGCTGTATGTTCCTTTCCACAGAAGTGTCCATGCTAATGGCGGGTACGCTCCGTTAAAGTAATAGTAGTCGTCCACCCTATCACCCCGGAAAGGCAACGGCTCTCTTCGCTCCTTTTTCTTATCTCGCTCAGAAGGCGCCCTAACTCGACGTCCACTTTGTGCCGCGTTGGTGAACGCGCCGTGTACATCTCCTTCGAGGAACTCCTCGAGCCAAAGAACCAAGGTCTGCTCCATTACATTGACCAACTCCGCGTGCTCTTTAACCTTGAAGAAGATAGTCTGCAACCGCTCGAGGCCCTGTGTAATAGTCCCGATCAAATAAGCACGGCTGTGCTCTTCATTTGCGGGTTGTCTGCCAGTTAGCTAGGATCATACAGTAGAAAATTCACAATCAAAAAAGCTTGCATATATTTAGAGGCTCACTAACGTGGTATATCCACCGCCCCATCCGGAGTAGGCGGTCTTTCCTGGTCATCAAACCGAGGATTCCTCTCACTGAAATCCCAGGTCACAGCATCATGAATCTCACGACATTTTGTTTCCGCGAAGATATTGATGCAATTGATCTCCTCCAGTTCCCAGGGTTCCCATAAGTCTTCCAGCAGCTTTAGAATCTCGTCATCACTGAGTTGGAACTCTATCCTGAAAAGATCAAGCTCGTCCTTATTGGGTCCCACGCCGAATACGTTGCTGCATAATTGAAAGCGATACAGAGCGCGGATTATCCTAAACTCTTCTGTCTCACTCGGGTCTTCATCTATCTTAGTGTGTGTTGCTTCCGGCTCTTTAGCTAGGTTGCGTAATGCCCACGCAGAATAGTGCCGTGCGAAAGGTTTCAAGACTGAGAAATAAAAGGTTACCATATCTATGGTATCTTTCAATCCCAGTCCTGCCGGTATAAGATCTGAGTGACAGCGCCGCTGCGTGAGAGACCCGAAATATTTAAGGATTCTATCGTGGTTGCGTGTCTGCGAGAAGCTCACTGAGCTAGTCTCTTGGACTATACAAGCTTCGAAGAAAATGCTGCCCAGTGTGGTCGCTAGGCAGTTGAGGAGAAGGCGCTTGCGATCTAGAAGATACTGGTCATGATAAACGGGTGATGCTTGAACTAGTGATTTAAGCCCTTCCGCATTGAGTAGAAGGAGAATTTGGACTCTGATTTCTGGTGGCAGGGTTTCCAGGTGTATACGTGAGTTCGAACGGACCGAGTCGTTCGTCGTAAAACTTTCAGGAATTTGATCGACCAAGGATGAAGCCATGAGAGGAGTGATGATGCAAGAGGATCTAAAAGAGGCAAATTAGGGGTGGGAGGTTTGAGAAATAGAAGGGAGCTTTAGTATCTATTGTAGGTTTCGAGAAGTTGTTCGAAGGTGAGGGAATCCTCGTGTCGCTGACAAGCAGCCTGGTCTTCCTTTGCCTGGTGTTTCGTTAAGCGCCAGGAACAGCTGCAAAGACCCTTTCACCACTCCAACATGGGGGGGCTGGATTTGCTGATGACTAAATTAGAAATCTAGTGGATAACTTGCCTCAAATACTATCTGTCGAGATTATAGGCGGCGCCAAGCGCGATGGAATATAGTCCAATTATTGGTGCTCGTATGTCTGGAGTGACTGCTATGCGCCGTCGCAGGGGAATGCATGCTACAGATATCTACAAAATGATACACACTACTGATACGCCGCATCATGCTGCTAAGCACATGTACCAAAAATAAGACTTTCGTACTAGGTCTCAAACGTTCAGTAGTACCAAAACCTCAATTATTGAGGGTAGTAGCCCTTCGTGACTCATGAATTGAGGCGGAACACATTGCGAATGAGTATCGGGAAGTTGATTGACTTGCAATTACATAACATCATTAAACCATAATAGATCCAGTCACTCGTTTACTCCGACTTCAGGCTCTGGCGCAACTCCTCACGCTGGACGGCTCCAAAACGCAGGTTACCGACATCGAAGATCTGCAATCCAGTTAGTAAACTTCAACATCGTCAGCAGCAAACGGATACACTTACAGCGTAAATGCTCTTCAAAAAGGTATCTCCCAAGATATCCATGGTCATATCACCACGACTCTGGATACCTCCATATACATAGCCCGTCTTCGCCTCCGAAAAGGCCAGGTCCTCCTTTTGCACCACAAATTGCTTTTCGCCCACGGCGAAGGACACAGTGGGTAGCTTATCCTGCGCCGTATCGGTCGGATAGATCCAGCCCTGGACTTCCTGATCGTAATACGCGCCGTCAATTGCGCTATAGATCGCTTCACACGTGTCATCGTCCACCAACGCCAGCGTGGTGCCAGTATCAGCAATGGCGGTGTTACCCGACCGGTTAATAGTCTTTCCATTGACCGTTGCAGAGGTTGAGTTGAAGAGCCAGAAGCCTTGGCTGTTATCAACAGGAGTGTAGTAGACCTCTTCGCCTGCCGTCTTCACCAGATCTTGATCAATGAAGCCAAAGGTGTAGAATGACTCCTCATCAGTGTCCCGCCAGGTATCCAGCTTAGCCGTAAACAGCTCAGCCGACTTTGGAATGTCATCCTGCAGGATCATGTTCTCGACGGGCGTTTTCACAGACTTTGGCTGCACAGTGTTGATGTTGCTGAATGCTAGACCGAGCAATCCGTCCCCTTCGCCTTGGGCGAATGTGCTGGACATCTTCTCCGCCAGCTCGACGGCTTGGTTCTTGACCACTACGCCGCCGATGTTAACGTCGTCGGTGCCGACACTTCCCGATGCGGAGGATCCATCTCCGTAGGAGATTTGCCATGATTCACCTTCCAGGGTCTTGAAGGTGCTCGATTTGGACGAGTCGAAGATGGCATGGGTCTTGTTCTCGGATAGAAGGGTTGAGGGGAGTTTGTTCGACCAGACCTACATCTGTCAGTACAATGATTCTCATGTAGATGTTTCATAATGGAAACGTACCCAGAGGTCAGCGGAGCCAGTGTCAAAGTCCAACTTTAGATTCTGCGCCGGGGTTCCGATACCCACGGTCGCCAGGTACATGGAGTCGTTCTGCACATCTTCGGCCGGGACTTCGCCAACCTCATCGCTGGTGGTGCTCTTCTTCCGCACCAGCTGACGAATATGAGCCCGACCCCCGATGGGCTTGTCAGTGTACGGACGGCCGGTCTGTTGGATGGAGCTGCTGAGGGTGTAGGGGCCAGGCTTGGTGGGATGGAAGCGGTACTTGCGGATCAAGTGCACATAGGACTTGGTGCCTGAACGCTTGTAGTTGAGGTTGGGGATGAGCTTGATTTTGGTAGCCATGATGGAGGATGATCAATTAGACTGAGGGGCAATTGTTATGGGACAAAGTGAGTATGAGATGGAGAGAAAAATGACGAGAGAGAAAGAGAAAGCAGCGGCCTTTTAAACCACCTACCCAGCCAGCAGCTAACTAACTACTAGCTGGCTAGTGAAGTAGTAAGTGACCCAAGATTGAGACGTCATTCTCTCCCCTCCCGTCCAGCGTAGCGACATGCATCCACTGACAGTCTCGGCAGCCGACCCTTTCAGCTGGCCCTGGAATCTCGCCCCCAGTCGGGTGATGCAGATTGATTGAATGATTGGTTTCAGCTGATCGCGAGATCGGCACCGATGACGCGATAAGCCCATGACTTATCTTATCGTGGAGGCCCAGAACCGGGACATTCGTCGCACTATTCAGGCCGAGTTGTGTTAGGGCCAGTTAGTGGCGTGGTGCGACGGGCCTGTCATCTTGTCCCGTTGGACTTTCAAGCTCCGGTGATCGTCAAGCTTGGCGTCTCCTCCCCGAATTGCTTCAGGTCAGCCACTATCAGTGACCCCCGTGTTATTGGTGGGATTGCTTATCATCATTACGCAGGTCTTCTTCATGATGTGATGTGATTTATTTTGTTAGTTTCGTTTATTATTGGTGTCGCGTGTGTGTGTGGAGTGTCTGTCACGTCGCCACTTTCTCTCTTCTCCCTTCCCCATGATGGATGGCACTGAGATTCCGTGCCCTTATTTTGTTTCTCCTCCCGGGCGGCCCGACCCTAACCGGGTGGCTCTGTCTCCATCTTCTGTTTTTTGATAGCATATTCTTACACAACCCCTGAGGAACAAAGAGATGGCGACACTGTACAATTGAGCGATTTCTAGTCACTTGGTATATCTACACCGGTGTCATGTTCTACGTGCAGCTAGATTCGACCTCCCCTATGCAGACACCAGAAGTTGCAGGATGCGGAGTAGCGGGCCTCAGAAATGCCTCATGGCTCACAACAATCCAAAGCATCAATGGATTCTTTATGAGACCGGTCTATATGAATGATGTCATCAAGTCAGACAATGAGGGGATATAGCTGTGATATGGTTGCGATGCAAAGATGCCTATGTAACTAGTCATAATTGCACGCAAACCATGGCCGGAATCACCTCATGGAGTTTACTGTTTATCTCTCCGGTGCGGTAAGCAGCCTAGTAATTCTACCACGTCCAGAAAGGGCCATGTTTTACAAGGCTGTCACTAATACTAACTTTACAACAAAAGAGATCACTGCTTATCTGGAAGTTTGCTCAGATGAGAGCAATCAATTGTTTACAATGATCCAATACATACTCAAGTCGATACAAGGCAGAGGGGTAAGAACTTTAATCATATAAGAACCTTACAGTGATCAGACCAGCTGACCGATCATTGAAACGGACGTGACATGTCCCTTGAGGTCTTCCTCTTCTAGTGCTGAACCATGAAAGAGATCGCACATGGTATAGTACCACGGGTCTTTTTGTCGTGAGCCTTAGCAGCCTACATTCCTCTCTTCTTCGCTTCCTTCCTTTCTCTCTTGATCGAGGGAACCTCACACACAAGTCATGCCACATTAGTGGCTAAATATTTGTTTAATTCATGTCCAAGAACAACACGATCTTTGAGGATAGTTAGGGGGAATGATAGATCCATTAGGATGAGCGATCGATGAATTCAAACCCTGAAGTGGCGATCTACTGTCCTATTAGACTGTTAATTGCATTGGTATATCACGACAACAACTACGCATACTAGAAACCCCTCGAGAACATCTCACTATCCACTCCCAAACTCCACCACAACAGAAAAAGAAAAGAAATAAAGCTCATCTTAGCTTCGCCACAAGGCTACTAGACTCCAGCACCACGATGAGGTATACGCTTTGTCGCTGGAGACCTGTCAATCTGTTCTGGCAGGGAACAGGTACCCGCATCCACTTATAGCCCATGCAACGCTGGCCCAAGTTTCTTCTGCTGGGATTTTAGAGAGATGAGGCAGATGGGGATGTCCCTTCTGCGCTATTGAGAAGAAGTCCGGGTTAGCTAATGCCAACCATTCCGGTTACAAGAAGACTTACCTCCGATCTTGAGACGGATCTAGTCTTTGATGCCTGACCACTAGACAAAGCAGCTACTCCGAGCGCAATCGACGAGGTGCCGAACTGCAACACCGGAAATTGAACTGTCCTCCTGCTGCTTCCGGATGGCTCAACCGTGAGCATCTCGATATTGAGATCGTCATCGTCAACCGATGCATCTTCCGCCGGTTGAGCTATCTTCCAGCAACCCCTGCCCGGTTGCCTGCTGATGCATTGTTTCTCCCAGCGGACACAGTCGCAGGACGAAGATTCGAGCATCTCCTCCAGCTAATCCTCGCCGAATGGCTCGACCGCGACCATCTCGATATCGAGATGGTCGATTTCACCCGACGCATAGACCGCATTAAGCTACCCCCACCATCCCCGTTTTATTCTCTACCGAGGCATTATTTCTCTAGCGACCAGATGCGCAGGATGCAGGTTTGAGCCTCCAGGTACGGGCGTACTGTACCATATCTGGCATCACCACCACCACCGCCGCCATTACGGCGTCGCTGGTGACGCGTTATCATCAAACTTTCCTGTAACATCGACCGCATCTTCCAGTGGTTGAGCTGTTCGCTTTGACTCCCACTTCCTTTCCGATTGCCTACCGAGGTATGTATATATGTATAGTATGCTTGCAATCAGCAGCCACGTGCAGGGGATGGATGCTCGAGCGTCGAGGTGTGGGTTTGTTAACGTCATATTTGGAGCTTCCAGAAAGGGAGGGGTTTAGTATTTCGTTGACGGTGCGACGTAGGATAATACCCGATAGGTCAGGACTTTAACTATGTCTTTATCGATAGTGGGGCGTTATTCGGGCTTGCAGCGTGGATAGAAGGAAGACCGACCCTGCGATAGAAGAAGGCTTGGCTGGGGTTTGCTTAATCTTATTACAGAGGTTTCGATTGGCCTTTTATCAGTAATTATAGAATCTTCCTGGATAGATTATCCGTGGCCATAGGGGGTGGATAACG